ATCGATGCCGGCGACATCCGACTCATCTACTGCCCTACGGACGACCAAACTGCCGACATCTTGACCAAGGCACTTCCCTCCGTCAAGGTCAAGCACTTCGCTGCCGCACTTGGCCTCGCACCTGCTTGAGGGGGAGTGTTGGAGTTTGGACGGCGAGGCAAGCGTGGTGCGAGCCTCGGCCGTGTTCCGGGCGGACAGTCTAGTCGCGCCGTTGACGCGTCTTGTCGCGCCTTGTTGCGCTCGCATAAGTTTCACCTTTGTTTTGTTCGTGAATACGACGACTCATTTGTCTTGTACCGGGAACGTCTTGTCCCAGTAATGTACTTATTCCCTTCGATTTACGTTGGCTCACCTCAGTCCCGCGTACGACACGTGCTGAGGTGAGTATACGTTTGTTACTTACTTCGTCTACTTATACTGATTAACATCCCGTAGTGATTGTTCTACAGGTACTATTAATACATATCAGTCCCGCGTACGACGCGTGCTGAGTGATTGTTCTACAAGACAGCCACCTACGAACAAGTTGTCATGGATCTTAGCTGCTATGTCTGAGGATCGCTACGTACGCAATGCGAAGTTGATTGATCCTCCATAAATGAACAGAGCGATCATCGGTCACAGGTTTATCCTTGTTCTGGGTTACATGCTATCTCACTCATCGCGGACACGGTTCTTGCAGACTTCGTAGCCTTTCTAGCAATTCGAGCCCGTCTCTGTCTCACATTTATCATAGAATCACATGGGATGAGGTGCACCTGCCACACCTCGGCTCTCCAAGACACAGGAGGGAAACAATCGCAGACAGACCTTGTAAGCCCCCTGCGTGCTGGTCTAGAACTGGCAACTTCACGAGGCTGACAAGTCGACATTCGTGAACAGTGGATGACTTTCCATAAGCTATGTACAGCTCTACGGACGTCCGTAAATCTCTAAACAGACCGATTTGGGCAAGGGGCAGTGTTGCCGACACCAGATCTGAACTCCGCTGATAAAATTTAGGATACGGACGTCAAAATCTAGGAGGGGGTCCGTAGACCTCGGCATACGGTGCCGTGACCACGAGAAAGGAAGGAGCCATCATAACAAAGCGAACTGCATGCCAAATACAGACATGACATAAGCCATTCCAGTCACGTGCTAATGATGAGCAGAACATGCCGCCTGTTTAGCGCCCAAGATCCAGAGACTGTTTTAAACCCCGCCTAGAAATTTACGGACGTCCGTAGGTGACGGTAGAGCCGTAAATCCTTATGGAAAGTCGTCCAGTAGCCCGCCAGCGCAAGTGCCAGCCGCAGGGATATCCCGTCAACATATCCCCTGAACAATACACACGAACGTCGACTAGAATCATCTTCACGCGGCTGACGACCCAAACTTTATGAAGGTCAGCCCGGCCTGTCAGCCAGCCCTGCCAATGGTTTAAGAACCCGCACAGCACCGCAACTCCTCCTCACCCCCCAACCGCCATCTTCTCCGTACCTCCGTGGGTTATCCTCATCATCTCGACTTCGTATGCGGGTCGGGCTGTCGCCCCTATCCCCATACACGTAAACTTTGGGCCTCATCCCTGCTACAACTCATCCGTCTATCGGCAAGGAGGGTCGTCCAGTCGCTATGTCGCTCCTGCTCCACACTCGAGTCGAGAACGTCCGCATCCGGGCATCTTAACTGTCGAAATCTCTCATGAGTGATGGCTAAGATGTTCACTCGGTGAGCATGGTTTGATATCCTTGTCCTTTTGCCTCAACCTGACTCCCTTGACGGTTCAAAGGCTGTTTTCTCAGTCGCCCATCACTTGCGGGAAATAATGCAGTCGCCGACCAAATCGTTCTCCATGGTCCCTGGCGTATCTCCTCTAGCACTTCCGGTGCCACGGAGTGTTGGGGTTTGTATGTCAAGTGGGGCTGACGGGCTTGGGCGGTGGCTCCCCCTTGTCTCATCTGCCCCTTCGGCCTACGGAGACGATGGCGGCTGCTTCTTCTCTCCCCCGAAACACTCCGTGAGCTGATGATTCGCACACCTGTGAGAAGTAATATCTGAGGCTCCATTGTACAGTTGCTTGGACAATTCCTCTCCGCTGGGAGGGCATCATGGTCGCACCGATGGTCGTGGACGCTCCCCGATCCCATCCTCAGAGGACCTCCCATCCTTCTGCAGTCACTACGCCAAGCATCCTGTTGGAAAGTCGCGACAGAGAGATGGGGAGATGCGCCAAACGAGATGTCCAGACGCATGGGATATGTTGTTGTACTGTTGTACCCGAATATACAAAGAACACTTCACTGGATGGTCGCAATGCGAGTTATGTGTGAATGATCTTTGTCTGCAAATTCAACAATCATTCATACTCCTCTGGATGAGCGAATGTAGCGGTCAGCCTCCCGACCGTCTGGTCCCAGACACCGGCGATCGTCACACCCAACACTGGTTTGTGAGCCTGCAAGGGTGACAATCGAGAGGTTCGCCAGCCTTGGCCAGGCAACAAATCCAGGTGTGGCACATTCAACCAACCTACCTCGCCTGCCTGTTGTTGGAGGTGCGATCGCAAGAAACCCAACCACATCACCTTCCTGTGAAGGCACAATGCTCGCGAATAACGCAGCCTCCCGTGAAGGAACTCAGTCTGTCGGTGATCGAAGTAGTCGTTGACATTCGTCCCGAGCGGAGCAGCGGTTCGCCAGCCTCCGCGCGCAGAGGTATAAAGGGCAGTGCAGGACGGCCAGCACTCCTCGTCACCAACCACTACTATCGAGCCTCTCTACAAGGCATCCCGCCTCAGCATCGATCATCAGCAGTCGTATATGAACACAGCAATTCACTTCTTCTTCTGCCTAGCAATCTCTCACTCTCAGCAACATCCACCATAGTCTCCGATGCCTCTGTTCCTGTTTCATCCGACTCGTCCTCCCGACTCATCATCGAACCGGGGACGGGGCATTCGTGCCCGGCGGTTCCCGCCCGCCTTCGACCTCACTTTCACCTCCTTGATTACGACAACCTGCTCCGGGATATTCGCCGTCGACTCCTGGTCGGCTAGAACGGATCACCTCACCTACACGCCCTCGAGATGTTGACCTTCCTGGGGGAGGGACATTAAGGTGAGTCCTGAACCGCCTCGCCTTCCGTCGTATCAGGCTAGTGAGCTGACCGCAGCTGCAGAGGGCCAATTCGGCAACAAAACGGCACGTACGACGCCATATATGCACGTCCTCAGCAAATTGCAAGGACGGCATGAAGACGCGTCCATGGCGGTCTCGAGCAACAGTGTTCATCCCTCCGGGCATGGAGCCCAGATGCCGCGAGACGTCGCGGCAGCGCCTAGAGGGATGCATTCGGTGAGCGCCCTCATCGCTATCCCGTTCCAGCGACCCGGATGGCTGACGCTAGCTCTCAGCTCGTGGTCGCTTTGCGCAGTACGCTAGCCGTGGCGCCGCTCGCCAGTCCCATTGATTTGGAGTCTGGTACCGAGGTTATGTCCGAGTCGTGCGCACATTTCCAACCAGCCCTCAGGCCTTCGGCCGGGGCCGAGGGCTGGTTGGGGATTGTAGCAGGGCTGGACGGGTGGAGGCGGTGATGTACGCCAGGTTGTTTGTGGAGGTGTCTGGGAGGCCGATGTCAGTCGGGATAGCAGAAAAGAGAAAAGCCCGAGTCTACTGGGTTTATGCCTTACTGTACAAAGTGAATGACAAGGAAACTCTTCGACTCGCACCGTTCAGATTACAACTATGGTAACGGCAAAGACGCCGTGACTTGCACACTGCTGTGAGTTCTTGGAATGAGTAAAGTCTCTTCAGAACTGAGCGACTGAACTCACACTCAATCGAACGTCGTTTGTTTCTACCGAGAGGCGCATGATACGTAAGACTGCTTGTACAATGTGTGAACAGTCCTGTCCAAGCTATTGATGCCATGAACCATCACGCCACGCAGGCACGACAGCCCCAAGGTGTCGTATTCCAAACCACGAACGCACCTTGCCCGTGAGTCGTCTGGACCTCATACACCCACCCGTGACCTTTGTACCTTGCAGATCAGCGTGTGCTCCTCAAACAACTTCACATCCGTCTTCATATTCTCCTCCAGGCCCGCGCCCTGGAACTCGAGAAAGTCGATGTCATCGACCGCCTTGCGGCCTCAGCACAGCTCCACGAACTTCGTCGGATCATAATTTGTCACTTACCAGAGTGTCAGTGGGTTACCTAGATGTATGCGCAGATAGTCGCCCGTACGGGACTGTATGAGGTGAGGTCAACTCGGCGCAGGCGCATCAAAACTGATGGTGCAATCCCAACTGTCCTCGCTTCCAGATCGGCTCATCGCCGGGAAAGCCAGTGCAATCAGCGTGGCCGACAGCTCATTGACTGAACCAGCGACAGTGCCAGTACAGAGCTTCGGTAGATCTAATCCGATTGTGAACCAGTTGCGGAAACCTTTGCTAGTATGTTTTCGCGTTTGGCCTTCAGAGAGAAGTTATGATGTTGAATGCTGGTTTCAAGGTGTGCAGGCGCGCGCGGTGCAAACCTCATAGAGCGAGACTTATTGTGCAGGCGTTGAGTGACAGAGTGGGCTCTGATGTCCCAACGCAGCGGCTCAGGTCAGCGAAGCGGCTGGGCGAGAATCACAAGCGTGCCAAATTGGGCGAATCGGCGAGGCCTGTCTCTGGGGATCTCGATCGTCCTGGATGTGCTTAGCAGACGCCTCATCTGCACTCGTCCACTCAGCACCATTAATCCTCATCTACGCCGACGTCCTGCCAGCCCTCTCCTTGACCGGAATCCGCTCCGCTCTTAGTCTAGGGTGCGTCATTTGCCAAGATAACGGCGCTCGGAGCGAACGTGCGTGGCCTATCAAACTTGGTCGCTGCCGCCCCGCCGCATTCGGACATCGTGCGCCAGAGCAGTCGCTTTGGCCGGTCGGCCACCAATTGCGTGTGTGGCTGATCATGCTCGTATCTCCGGCCATTGCTTTTACTCCCCCCCCCCTCACATCGCTGTCTACCTTCTATGCCTGCTCAGCTTGCCCGACGCCTCCCGTGATATCCCCACCTCCCTGACACGATCGGTCATCTCCTGGGCGACTTCCATCTATCTTTACAGCAGTCTCACGAAACTCTCGTCACTTGAAGCTTCGTCTCCTGCTTCTCTTGCTCCGGCCTGTCAGTTGCTTTGTATACACGGTCCCACACTCTACCGCTTTTCTTATCCTGCTGAGTAAACCGCCGCGGCCATGAACGCTGTAGCAGGTCACATATCAAAGAAGTTCATCGGGGCAGTCGAAGATGAGTGGCAACTTTACAGGTCTGTTCTCTTGTGTACGCTATGGGTCTCCCTCCATCTAACTGGCGATACAGCAACAACTCATCCGACTACACCATCGGGTCCCCCATTGGCTTTGGAGCATCTTCTGTCGTCTATGCCGCGAAGTACCAGCCTCCAGATGCAACCACCCCCATTCCATGCGCGCTCAAGGTCCTGGACCTTGATCGCCTCCCACCCTCCGCTCTTCGTCTCCTACAGAACGAGACGCAGCTCATGTCACTATCTAAGCACCCGAATGTACTGCGTGTACGCGGAACCTGGGTCGATGGCCACAAACTCTACATCGCCATGCGTCTCATGAACGCCGGCTCTGTTGCCGATGTTATGCGCTATCAGTGGCCAGGTGGGTTGGAAGAGGACGTCATCCGCTGTATCCTCAAGCAGGCCTTGCAGGGGCTCAAGTAAGCAAATCTCCATTTGTCGCCGGCATCGGACCACTTACAGCATTGGCTGATCGTGGGCGCGCCGTCTTAGCTACCTACACATCAACGGGCTGATTCATCGCGACGTGAAGGCGGCAAACCTCCTCATTGACGACGATGGAACGGTACTGCTCGGCGATCTTGGAGTCGCGGCCTTCCTATGGGACTCGGAAGAGGGGATGCATACGCCGCAGGCGAACAAGACCCGGTCCATTAACTTCGGTCCACTATTACGTGGTGCTCAGAACAGCCATAACCACCCACACTCACGAGGATCGGGCCCCTCAGTTACGATACAGCAACGGCCGTCGATTCTGGGGAAGCGGAAGTCCTTTGTCGGCACACCTTGCTGGATGGCCCCAGAAGTGATCAACGGGAAGACGTACGACGCGTCGGCCGATATCTGGTCCTTCGGCATAACCGCTATCGAACTCGCCCAAGGTCGCGCGCCCCGTTCCCGGCTAGACCCGCACAAGGTGCTTGTCATGACCGTCACTGACGAGGCGCCGCAGCTGGAGCGTCACTCGGGCCCGCACCAGTACTCGAGCGCATTCGCGGAGATGGTCGAGACGTGCCTGCAGAAGGATCCCGTGAAGCGGCCGACGGCCGCTGACCTGCTGCAAACGAGCTTCTTCAAAAATGCGAAGAAGCCGAGCTATCTTTGTAACACCATCCTTAAGGGGTTACCCCCGCTCACGCAGCGGCAGGAGCGCAGGAAGCAGCCGTCTATTCATACGCACCTGACTATGGATAGCGGCTGGGACTTCTCGATGAGCCTCCCTGCGTCCCCCACGACGTCCGTCTACAGTCACCACCGCCGTCCGAAGAGCCTCCTACCTCCCGGAAGTGTGTTCGAGATTGAGGATGTCGGCGGAGACCAGCCTCCAGGAGACGATGGGGGCGGCGCGGCCGCGACCGGCGAAGGCGATCACGCCGCTATCGACGGCCACAGTAGCGCGGAGGCGTATGCGGTCCGCGTCCGCGCACGGCATCGCAGCTCTATCGGCCGCAGCCTGCATTCTCACAGCCGCTCGGGCTCGCACCAGTCCCTGCACTCGCACATCCACTCCCGCAGCGAGTCACGCGATGTGGACTCAATTCAGGAGATCGCCGTGCAAGACGAGGACTCGTCCGACACGGACCGCGACCAGGAGCCGGAGCCCAAGGGCATCCTCGTCGCGACGTCCCCGCACGCGGAGGCGCCGGAGCACGCAACGCTCGCGGTCCCTGCCGCGCCCCAGCTGTCGACGTCGCCCGCGGGGTCGATGCACTCCTTCGCGTCTGCGACGTCGTCGGGGAGCTCCCCGTCGACGCCGTTGACGCCGCCCTCGTCGTTCGGGCCGCCGGGCGCGAGGTCGCACCGCGGGAAGCTGTGGCGCAAGCTCGCGGGGAAGCTCGACGCCGAGTCCGACAGGGAGAAGGACGCGTCGCCGCCTCCACTTCCTCAGGCAGCGGAGGCGCTGTCGGGCGGGCGCAAGAAGTCGTTTGGGAGCGTGTTTGGGCGCACGGCGTCGATGAGCGCCGATTTGGTCCGGACTGCGAGTCGGACGATGTCTGGTGAGTGCTCTTTTCGTGACGCGAGGCCGGCTGTTCTCGTGGGTGTAGAAGGCGGGATGTGCTGACGTCTTGTTTCTCGGCAGCCTCGAAGCAAGTTCGATGACGATCATGGCGAGTAGGGCGGACGCTGGTCCCTTGCTCTCACGGTCAACTCATCTCGGTATGGCTGCGACTACGATTGGGCTCCGTGGCACGATGTCGCTGTGTCCTGTATAGCTACGCCGTACTTTGTATGCCATAGTATATTTTATTAGTCGTGTATCAGTAGCATGGTCTTATTCCTGTGTAATGATACGCAGCACATCGCTATAATCTATGCCATTCTGGATAGTGCCCGCCTGCTGACCGGAGCTCGCGCACCGAGACACGTCATGCAAACGGATGACATTTGGCACGGACACTGCGCAGGCCGTACTCCGGGCCAGATCGCCACTGCGCAGTGCAGGCGGTTTGCCCAAACGTGTGCCAGTCTGAGGAGTCTGCAAGGCTGTGTCGAGGCGGGCGCCTCCCTACATGTGACGTCTGTGCACGTGGTGGTTGATCTCCGCAGAGACGCCGATAGAGCAGAGGCAAGGGACTGGCAGGCGTCGGTTCGGGCCAAGTCCCTCTCTATCCACTTCCTCCGTCTCCTACGCCCTCTCTCCCTTCTTTCCGCTCCATTTAACATAATGTCCTCCACCGCGGAGGCTGCCGCGGCTGCCAGGGTTGTCTCTGGAGATGCCGCCCAGAGCGCGACCGCGCTCTTCGACACTCACCTCAGGCTTCTTAACGAGTCCTACCTTGCATTCTTCATCGAAAGGTGCGCGCGCCCTCGTCTCTTTCTCTCGTAACCGTGCTTGACTTGTTGCGCCACTCTCAGGAAACGAATAGAGGAGCAATAGTGCGTTAAACCCCAAACATCCGTTCCCCACGAGAGCCCTCACACGCGGATCCAGTATTGCATCTCTAATGAAACTCCACCTCAAGTCCAAATCCCTCGACGCCTTTATGGATGATCGCGTGGAGCATAGCACGACACGAGCAGCGTGGATTGAAATCGTAGATAACGTCGAGAGAGGTGCGTGCAATATATCCCGGGCTACGCCCACCATTCGCGCGCTCTGGTTCACCACGGCGGGGACAGAGGCCGGCGCCCACCGAGCGTTGGCGGACAGCGTGTATGTGGACGTTATCGAGCCCCTGAACAACTTCAAGGTGTGTACCGCGTCCTTTCGAGCTCGGCGCACGTGCGAGATAGTGTTTGGTACAGGAGGAGCAGGAGCGGATCCGGAAGCGGATTCGCGAAGACGTCAAAGACGCGATTACGGCCCATAGCGATTATGCAGAGAATACCCTTCCTCGTCTGAAGCGCAACTACATCAAGAAATGTCAGGAAGCCGAGGTACGCTCTCCACCTCAGGTTCACTCCGCGCTGTGGAGGTCTACATATGATCTTCTATGTAAATGTAATATTGACACGGCGTCCCCCATTTGCAGGAGTATAGGTCCGCAGCGGTAGTTTCCCCCACCTCTCCACAAGATCCGAACGTACTGCCGCCGCTATCGAAAGCGCCTCCACCTCAGAATCCGAATGGCATCCGGCCTGTCGTTACTGGCCCACAGCCCCTTCGTCCACTCGAGCGTCGCGCGTCGCAGAACGTACATCGGAACCGGTCGCCGTCGGCCTCGACGTCGACTGCCCTCCACGACCTCGCGCACCAGGGCAAGAGGCAGCTGAACCAGCTGATGACTTTCTTGGATAAAGGCGGGAACGTCAGAGATGGAGGGCGTTCCGATAACGCGCTCCGTCTCGTGCGCGCGAAGCGCGAGGCCGAGGAGGCTGGTATGTGGTGTTGCACAGCTTTCATTTGGGTTGCGCTGATTTGCTGGGAAATATGAAGACAAGGAGTACAGGAAGGGCGTTCATTGGCTGGAGACGCTCCGAATTAGGCGGGTGAAGATCCTTGAATCCGGATTCAAGGTAGAGTTCACTGCCCCAATGCGCGTCATGTTTAGATATCTGACCTGCGAGTTCAGTCTCTGGAGTCGTTTGTGCGCGAATCATCCGAGACGATGAGGAAGGTTTTGGAGGTGTACACAGATAGCTTGACGTATGATTGCTGTCGGTTGCGCATTGCATCCCGTGACTATATTGACGAAATTGTGCAGTGCCGCAGCAGCGATTCAAGGGCAATTATGTGAACACGGCCGACAGATGGTTGAGCAAATCGTGCCTCAGCAAGACAGTGCTGCGATAGCGGCCAGCATCCGTGGGATGCTGTCCCTGTTGACACCCAAACCCACTTATTACTACAACTTCAACGTCGGCGAATGCAAGGACCTCATCTTTGGTGTCACCCTCGTCGATTACGCCACTGCCCGGGGTCTCCCAGAAGGCGATATTCCGAAGATTGTGCGTATATGCATAGAGGATATCGATCGACGGGGCCTGGAGGCCGAGGGTATCTACCGGGTAAGCAGAGTTCTCGCTCAATAATGCATATACTTTTCAGCCTCATTCGGCTCCTCGATGGCAGGTGTCTGGAAGGCACGCGGCTGTGCAGGAGGTATGTTTCTTCGCAGAATTTGACGTCAGCTTATTTAGCTGACTCCTACTCCTGTCCTGTAGCTGCAGCACAAGATTGAGCGTAATGAGGCCGCGTTTGCATTCAATCCTACAACAGACGACGTGTACTCTGTAGCGTCGTTCTTGAAGGTGCGTCGTGCTGACAGACGACGTTGAAGCAACGTATCTCTGACCATGGAAACTAGATGTATCTCCGTGAATTGCCCGAGCCCGTGTTCAAGTTCCCGCTTCAGGATCGGATACAGCACACCGAGGGTATTGGTACGGCGCCTTTTGTCCCTGGAGCTCCTGAACGCATCCTGACCGTTACGTAGACGAACATGCCGCGAACAACTTCTCGCTGCTTAGATCGAAGATTCGGCGACTACCTGCAATTCATCAAGCCACACTCCGCGCACTTGTCGAACATCTCGCCCGGGTCGCTGCCAATTCTGACAAGAACAAAATGGACCCCAAGAATCTCGCAATCGTGTTCGGCTCCGTGATCTTCGGGGAAGATGAAATGCCCAAGGGTGGAGACATCCTTGGAATGCAATCTTGGAAGGTGAGCTCGCTGCCGTTCATGCGAAAGCCTCCTTCGTTGACGAGGCCTCGTAGGATACCTTGATGGAGGACCTGATTGTGAATGCACACATCTTGTTCCAGCAGAGTGGCAGCAGTTCTCCGCCGCTACCCTCTGCACCCCTGAACGAGCCTGCAGCGCCCGTCGCGTATGGCTCACAGCATACCAAGGTACTCTCTAGCATGCCACCTCCACCTGTGCCGGCATCGCCCCGTAAGGGTCATAAGAAGTCTGCCTCGACGTCCACTGTCCGTTCGTCTCTCGATGTGCCTCGGCCTCACGTACCGCAGGACTTCACTCCCCAGCTCCCTCCACGGCCAGCGAACAGCATCCATCCGTCGCTACGTGCCGGGCCACATGCTGGCTCGCCCGCGAGGCAGATACCCTCCGCTCGCGCAGGGCAGTTCTTTGATGACGACATGCTGATCACACCACAGACCTCGATATCCTCGCGCGAGCACGGGAGCTCGACGTCGCTTCCACCACAGCTGCCCCCGCGCCCTGAGGAGCTCTCACCATTTTTCGGACCTACAGGATCGTCGTGGACGCTTGCCGCGTCGGCCGAAACGGACGCAAGCACGAACGTCGATCCCGTCCGAGAGCCGTCTTCCAAACGGTCTTCGCGCCAGATTCCTTCGGGTGAGGCACCGCGCCCAACACCATCCCCGATCCCAGTGCCCCAAGTTCAACTGTCTGATGATCCGCCGGCGGACGTGTTCTCGCCTCCTCCTCCTTCGTCCCTCCGTTCTGCATCACACGAGAGCGGCATCGAAATGTCCTCTACCGCTGCCGCTGCAGCGTTCGCGTCCGCGACACCCTCGCCGACGTCCTCGTCGCACTCGTCCGCGCATTCGAGCCCCTCGAAGCGGTCTGCAGGACACAGTCGGAAGGGATCGGCCTAGACAGTGTTCCCAGACATGGACCTTCTCATCTCTTGGCTTCAATCTTGAACTAACGAACCGTAGACGATATGTCACGAGTCACGAAATGTAAATGACCACATTGGAAACTCCGTAATACGTTCTATCAGGCGTGTACCTATCGTGATTGTTGCATTGACAGTTGTAGTACATTCCATGCGCTCCTCCCCTTTTTCTCTTCGTTGACATTGGTTTCCGCCTGGTCTTTGTGGGCGGATGGATTCTTGTGTAGTCACACTGTATGTCTGCCGTACATGATACCATGTAATGCGTTGTGGTACTCATTCTAGCGTATGTGTTGTAAGAATCTATTACATACATACCTTACTCCATAGACCGTGTGGTATCATATTATTGTGCAACCGGCCAAGAGGAAGAGATAGTCCGACAGATGTCAGGAAGTGTTCTCAAGGGTTGAACTGCGTAGTAAGCGATAGGATGTGCAATGCAAGATAGCTATAGATGGGAGCAAGTAAAAGAGCAGTGACAATTCAACATATCGTGACGCAGCCAGTAGGTGGAATGTGTAGGAGGTCAGAGTAGATCATGCCACAGCTCGAGTTCCTCGTCGACATCGGTCTCGGGCCACATGGGTGTGTGCTCCTCCGATTCATCAGGAATCATGGGTGTGTGCTCCTCCAGTTCATCAGGAATCTTGCCGTCGTACTGCGCCATCCACTCGATCACTCGCGGGTGTGCGCGGACCCTGTATGATCAATGGTGATTACAGAGAGCCGTTGCTGCTGCACCAACAGAGAGGACGTACTTGGCCGGGTCGAAATTGACCACTTGAAGCGTTTCCATGCGGGTCGCCCTCGATAAAGCGACATACGCTAGGCAAACAGGGGTGAGTCAATGCACTTCTAGGTGAAGTGATAAGGTCACACCTTGTCCTTTCTCGAAGATCTTGCTCAGGTTGACTCTGACCCGCTCCAACGTCTGACCTTGTGACTTATGTATACTCAAGGCCCAAGCAAGGATCAAGGGAACCTGTACGACATTTCGAATGCTTATCAAACATACGGAAAGCGGTACATGTATATAATCACCTGGTCACGAGTTGCTTGGATGTTCCCGTTGGCGTCCATAGCCTGGAACGGGAGCGGTACACAGAGCATGAGCGGCCCGCTCAAGAATTTCACCGCAGGCCAAATATTATCAGATTTCAAATAATGATCCAGCCTCTGCTGGCGTTCTTCCCTCTGCTGCTTCAGTAGCTGAATAGGTAAGTCCTCACTGGGAGGGTGTAGTAGGTCGGGATGACCGATCTCAGCGCCTATCTTCAAGGCCTCTCGCGGTCTGTAGAACCCGACAACACGTCCCATGGACCCATTGACGAGCGTACCTTGAATGAGATTCTGTAGAAGAACTGTGCGTGAGGCCATGGGCTTCTCAACAATGTAGTGGGGATCGGCGTACCTTGATCAACATTACCTGTGCCCCCTCCTTGAGAGAGAGCTTCTTAGGGGCAATCAGATCCTTGAGTGCGCGTTCGACGCGTTCGTGCGAGAAAGGCTTCCATTCGTCGTCAAATCCTGGGAAGTCTATCGCATGGTAGTCTCTCGGAATGCCTACGAGCTGACTAAGGCGTGTGCTGTTGGCGGAATCCACCTCGGCGCGAGTGGGATAACTGAGTACGGTGAGCGCGGGTGATAGTGATAGTCGAAGGAAATGCTTACAGCTCGGTGGGCTCTACTCCGTCATCATAGCGCACCGCCCGTGAGAGCTGCCTGAAAGCCATAATTACCTCGGCATCGAGCTTCCCGAACCGCATTGCGTTTAACATGTCCACAAACTCTGTATGTGGTGTTCAGGAATGAGATGAAATTGACAGTATACACACAGACTTTGGTCTTTCTGCCTGAACACCTTTCGCAGGACGATAGGGTCGCCTACACATCGATTCCAGGACTCCGAGTCGAAAGCAAAGCAAGCAGGAACTTGTGCCCCACTTGCGGTTTTGTCTGGGACTGGGGGTAGCTGACAGAAGTCGCCCGATAGAACGAGCTAGGAAGAACATGATGATCAGTTTACGGATGTCGCAATAGCAGAGCAGGGTACCTACCTGGATTCCACCAAAAGGCCGATTGTTCTTACGTAGCTTCCGCGCTATGTATTCCTGAAGAATACCAATAAGCGCGCCTTCGCAAGGGAGACAAGACTCGATGCTCACCAGCTTGTCGAACAATCGCCCATCAAGCATCGAGACTTATCGTCAATAGTACCTTCACTCCATGAGTGCTGTAGAGCTGCGTACATACTCTCGTCAATGATGAGTGTCTCGACCTCCTTCCACCGATCCAAGGCCCTCGTCTTCCGTGATTCGTCCATGTCCTTGTTGAGAAAATCCCAATCCTCCTTTGTCAACCAAATTCCCTGCGCCTTCTGCTTGCGAAGCTCGTTCTTCCTTTTCTCCTCCTCCTTGTACGCTTTCTGCGCAATCCCATAAATTCTTGCGACCAGTGCGAGTTGGTCCTCCTTGCCCAACCCAATGCCTGCCCATGAGTGCAGTGTACACCCACCAATGTTCACGGACGCGATGCCTGTAGACGCCGTGATTGCAAGCTGCAAACTCGCTCGCCCGCCCCTCGCATTGATGATCTTCCGCAAGAGGACAGACTTGCCGGTACCCGCGGACCCTGTGAAGAACACGCTCTCCCCACGCTGCACTTTCGCGAGGACGTACCGCTGCTCGGGCGAGAGCTGAATCTCGGCTACTGGTTCCTTGGCAAGCATATACGAAGACGTCGTCAGTTGCGTGGCGTCCTCTGCACTGTCTAAAGTGGACGGAGGAGGGGTGGGTTGAAGGCCATTGAAGCCAGCGGGTTTGGCTGTTATAGATCTGTCAAGGGTGGCCTCGTCGTAGTCATACTTATATGACGGAGGCGTGGACTGGCTGGTACTCGGCGGATGCAGCAAGTCCTCCACGTCCATACTGTCGAAGTCATAATCACTTTCTTCATCCTTGACCTCCGTCTTCACAGTATCGCGTTGCTGTTCCTTTCTGATACCGCTGGAGGGGCCAGGGTCACCTTCTTTCGGCGCTGGGGGTATCGGATCGACAAGTTGGCAATTCGCAGCAGGCTCTATGGACCGGATAGCCGTCAAATCAGTATCTGACCAGCCAAAATCAATACATACTCTGATATGGTGGGGCAGCGTTGAATGCGATAGCGTCTGCTATGCCCAGCAACCAGGCTTCTGCCTCTCGCATAGAGGGAAAGCTCCTGTGCAACACACTGTGCGTGCAGGAGATCTATCACAAGTGAATGCTGAGACTGTTGTTTTCATCTATGGTGTCAAGATTAGCTCACATTGGCCTCAAACTAGCGATATGATGAGAACAATAGAAATCAACGTCACGGTAAACTAAAGTCATGGATAATGCCTACCGTTTTCTTGTCTACGTAAATTCGGGTGCCCTCGCCGCCATTATACACTGCATGGAATTTCGCCATCTCCATAGCAAAACGTTTTACGCTATCGAATCTACGACAAAGTGACCGTCAAGGGCGACGGGATCCACAAGACGTAGTCAAGAAGAAAGGAGCATCAGGTTCGTTTGTCGGCGGCTGAAGCGCCACGCTCAGTAGGCGTGTACTACTACCGCGTCAGAGTCACGTGAGCCCGTACAAGCCGTTTTATATCAGGTTGCATCGACCCTGCTGAAGCTACATCCTCCCAGTAGTAGCCACCGTCAACATCGCCAAGATGCTCTTTGAGGGGTGGAAACAACGATTGGCTCAGAATTCTCCGGGGGATGGGCCTAGTGGTGTTCGGTCTCATGTACACGTCATACATACGCTGGACATGGACATGTGCATAGTGGTCGTCGAATGGACACTCCGGTATATAGATACCTTGTGGTTCGGGCTGCATAGTTCCCACTGGCACAGCACATGGATACTAAGCGAGCGGTCTGTCGCCAAATGTGCGGTAGTCTGCAGGGAATAGCGCTGCCTCAGTAGAAGCGATAGAGAATGCAACGCAATGTGGCTTTGCAAATACAGTGCTGAAGGTGAGGATGTATGCAAGAAGTTGGAATGAAACCGGGTTCATTATATCAAATCTTGCCACAGCTCAAGCTCCTCGTCGATATCTACCTCATGTCGGTTAGATGCTTGCCCATCCGGGGCGTCGGGGATTTTGCTGTCGTGTTCCATCATCCACTCTAAGACTCGTGGATGTGCGCGCACTCTACAGCAATCCGAGGTTACGTTAAGCCAGGGCTGAGGGCAAGAGCAGACGTACTTGGAAGGATCAAAATTGAAGACCTGGAGTGCTTCCAAACGAGTTGCCCTGGACAGTGCAACGTACGCTAGGCATAAGACATTTGTTAGATGTGCGCGTGTGGCGATGAATATGGCGGACTCTCACCTTGGCCCTTTTCAAAAATTCTGCCCAAGTCCACGCGAACGCGCTCCAAAGTCTGGCCTTGAGACTTATGGATGCTCAGCGCCCACGCAAGGATCAGAGGCACCTGCTCGCGGACAGCCTCGATGCCTCCGTCCGCATTGTTGACTTCGAACAGCAGCGGCACGCAGAGCATCAGTGGACCGCACGCAAACTGTACTGCGGGCCAGACGGTGTTCGTCGCTAAAATTTTCTTGAGCTTCTGTTCGCGTTGCTCCTGCTGTGCCTTCTCCTGCTCCGCGGAGCGATTACAACCCTCGCCTTCGCCTTGCTCGTCTGCCCCGGGCTCCTGTGCAGCTTTTGCTAGCTCAGGGAGGGCGATCTGCGCACCCATTGCGACTGCTTCGCGCGGCTTGAAAAAGCCGACGACGCGACCGAGGGAGCCGTTGACCAGTAAGCCTTGGATTACATTCTGGTGAGGTAGGGAAACATTACGTGTGAGGCGAGATCGATGGCTCTGCCGAAAGATGTAGCGAACGTACCTTGACGAGCATCACTTGCGCCCCAACCTTGAGTGGCAGCTTCTTGGGAGCAACGACGTCTCTCAATGCACGCTCGACGCGGTCGAATGGAAACGGGTTGCCATCCTCGTCGCGTCCGGGGGCATCTTTCGCATGGTAATCCTTGGTGTTCCCATCCAACTTGTTGAGTCGGGCGGTATTGGCAGAATCTACTTCATTGCGCGTGGGGTACCTTGGTTCGCAGCATCGGTCAATAGATTGCGATGGACGTGAATAGAGTGAGGAACATACAGCTCTGTGGGCTCTATCCCGTCGTCATAATGGACAGCACGCGAGAGCTTCCTGAACTGCACAGTGATCTGTGCGTTCAGTTTCCCGAAACGCATAGCATTCAACATGTCAACGAAGTCTAGAAGTCCAAGTGAGCCTTATGAAAACCCAACACACTGGCACTCACTCTGATCCTTCTGGCGGAAGACCTTCTTGAGAACAATGGGATCTCCCACACACCGGGGCCAGGATTCGGCGTCGAACGCGAAACAGGCAGGGATTTGTGCGCCTTTGACGTCCCTGTCCGGTACTGGCGGTAGTTGACAAAAGTCGCCGGACAGAACGAGCTAGCAACATGATCGTCAGCCGAGGTGAACATACGAAGGGTCATTACAAATCTAATGACCTGGATACCACCGAAGGCCATCTCGTTCTTCCTGAGTTTTCGAGCGACATATTCCTAGCAGGGCAGACGTAAGCATATTAGAACGGCATTCAAACACGATGATGCTCCATACCAGCTTATCAAACAGCTTTCCGTCAATCATCGAGACTTCTCTACATCAGCATCCACACCACCCCCAACAAACGCACACACACGCACTCTCGTCAATGATCAACGTCCGGACATTCCGCCACCGGTCAATAATCTTGGACTTGCGCGTCTCCTCGGGGCTCGTCCTCAGAAACATGATCTCCTCCGCCGTCAGCGGGATCCCCTTGCTCTCCTTCACGGCAAGCTCCCTCCGCCTGTTCTGGTCCTCCTTCCACGCCTTCTTCGCGATCCCGTAGATCTTCCCCACTAGCGCGTCCTTGTCCTCCTTCCCCAGCCCGATCCCCGCCCACGAGTGCAGCGTGCACCCCCCGATGTTGACGGACGCGATGCCTGTCGACGCCGTGATGCCGAGGAACTTGCCCGGCCGCCCGCCCTTGGCCCTGATGATCTCGCGGAGGAGCACGGACTTGCCCGTCCCCGCAGACCCGGTGAAGAACACGCTCTCCCCGCGCTGCACCTTCGCGAGGACGTACCGCTGCTCGGGCGAGAGCTCTACTACCTCGTGCACGGGCCCTGCGACGAGCATGCCCGCGGGCGCGGTCAGCGGCGGGGCCTCCTCCTCACCGGGGGGCGTCGGAAAAGGGGCATCAGATTGAGGACCAGCTGCCGCAGCGAGCTGTGCGGGGGCCCGCTGCAACGCGGGCACGCTCGCTCGCGCAGCGCTAGGCGGTGGTCCGTCTAGGATCTCGAACCCGTCGTCGTCGAAGTCATAAGACACATCCACAGGTGCTGTGTGCGATCGGAGGGCTTCGCTCGGCGCTCCGTCGAGTATCTCAATGTCGGAGTCGTACTCGTACTTGACGGACTGAGGGGTGGAGTGGCCGGTGTTCGGCGGATCGAGCAACTCCTCGACGTCCATGCTCTCTATCTGCATGGCGTACTCGTCCTCTTCGTCCTTGATCTCTTGTTTGACAGAGTATCGAGGGACGTTGCGTTGACGTGCTACTCTGACCGTTGAGGGACCGGGGTCGCCCCGTCTATGTGCTGCGGGAGACACGGAAGCAACACGCTGGTAGTTTGCAACAGGTTCTAGTGGCAAACAGTCGTCAGAGCCGAGCTTGAAGTGCTGTAGTCAATGCGTTCAAGCATACGCTGGTAGGGTGGAGCGGCGTCGACAGCAGTGGCGTCCGCTATGCCCTGCAACCACGCTTGTGCTTCCGATGCGGAGCGAAAGCTCTTGTAAATCACACCAGGCACGCGAGAGACCTATTGGTGGTTATGAATTGGAACCTTATCAAATGTGACACAACGAACGCCTACTCACATTTGCTTTACACTGAAAACGCCCAGCGATGCCAGCACATGAACGGACTCAACGCTCCGCCTGCGGTAGACGACAACGAGAGCGTACCGTGTCCCAGTCGGTGTATATTTGAATGCCCTCCCTGCCGTTGTACACTGCGTAGAACTTCCCCTTCGCCATTTCGCGCAGCTTCCCGTTCGTAGAGCAAGTTTGAAGCAGCACTCGAAGAGGAGACACTTGACATTCAGTGTAGCCAAGAAGAAAGGAGCATGAGGATCGCGTGCCGGCGCCAAACGCGTCTCGACGCGTCTCGCGTATCATCACGTGGGCCGCGCTGTTCTCGACACAATTTTGAACGTATTTCCCTGCTTGAATAAATCGCCCCTTGCCCGTTGCGATTCGGCTCACCGAGGACGAGACAATTGACGGAGATTGACAATCACAAAGTCATGAAAGGTCGTGTCATTCAAAACAGAGAGTAAGTAACTCCGAATTTTCTTCTATGCGTACAGGTACTAGACGTGTCTGTGTCAAAGAACAGTCCAGTCCAACAATCCACAGCCCATATTGCAGCGAGATCAGAAGAGCGTGTATGCAGAGTTCCCAGTATAATGATAGGTAGAAGAGACGTGTGAAAGACATAGGAGACAGTGCTCCACTGTTGATAGTGGGGATGAAACAACACGAGGGGGAACCATCGTACAATATCTACATCCATGAGGCGTATATGTAGGAGGGCTCGAAAGACGATGCCCTGAGAAGGAGCGGTGAGGCAGATAGATGACAAGGATAGGCTCCCGAAGGAAGGGGTGACTACCGCATGAACAGCAGCCAGCCACCCAAAAATAGACCCAAAAGCACCCAGATGGCACGCACAATAATGACGACCACGAGGGCTTTGCGCACCGCGGCGTAGAATGTGGTAAGAGCGGAACCAGTCCAGTTAATTCTGCAGCACAAATAGATTAGCTTCGTTCTACGGGGAAAATAGCACATTGAAACTGACCTCCGGTCATTCGTTCCACCCGAAAGTACGCTCGCTTCCCACCCTCTGATCACAGCCCGGTATCTCTTGCCAAATACCCAGATCCAAAAGTTTACGTCGGGATACCCAAAGCGAGGGAAAACGCTCGCCAAGCTCGGGGCCATCACCGGTACCCTCAATAGCTCGGCATCGGCGTCCGGTGGCAAGAGTAGCGAACCAGCGCCCCCACGACGCGTTCCAGGGGGAGCCATGTGTGCGAGCAAATCGAGCGTCATGCCCAGAGATAGACCCCAGAGCTTCAGAGTCTCGTTCTCATGTCCATGCCGAGAACGGAAGGAGTGTTGCCGTTTCATCGGCGCCGGTCCGTTCCCTTCCAGTTGCGCCCGCTTCGCGTCAATGGCCTTCTCGTCAGCCACATCGGCATAGGAAGAAGTCGTCGTGCTTGTAGGGATGAGAATAGCGGGGAATTTCATGCTGCCAACGAGAAGGCGAACCAGTAACCGGAGGATGGGCGAGTGCCGCGGTGCCAACCGCGAAGACGCGTCTACGGAGACAGTGGACCAGCGCGGACCATCACCGACCGGACGAGGCAATAGAGCGCCCAGCGGCACCCAATGAAGGGTGGTGCCGGGTGACGGGTCCACTGGTGTTGTCTGTGGGGACAATTGGAGGAATACGAAGGGCGAAAGAATCATCAGGAGACGCTTCCCCAGGGAAGTCGTGATCTCGCGGTCGTCGAGCTGGCCAATAGGCGTATAGAACGATTCTGCAAGGTCAAGGCCGATTTCTTCCCATGTCTGCCGCATAGCTGTAAGATAAGTATTGAGTTTCAGGACCCGAGCGGAGAGAAGACGTTTGAGAGCCAGATAGGCTGCGGAGGCCGGTACCGACGTAAACTCCTGCGTCATCCCGTCGGCCATGCGAGGCACAACCCAGGCCTCGTGTACGGTAAACGAACGGATGCACTTACCAGTGTAGAGACCGCCCTCGTCGCCCTCATCAGTCTTGCCACCCGGGAACGCGACGTGCGCCTCGCGCGTATTTGGTCCGCTGCCACTCATGCGACCGCTGTCGGCGGTGGGGTCGGGCTTGTCCCGGCGGAGAAAGAGTATCTCAGGCCGCGCACCAGGAGCATTGACCCAGTCAAGCTGGAAGAATTCTGTGAGAGATGGTGCGGGGACGTTGGCGGGTGTACCACCCTCCGTGGAGGGTTGTGTGGGGAATATGTAGGAGGGCGGGGGTGTCACGCGGATGATAATTGCTACAGCAGCACGTCGGGGCTCTGTAAACGAGGACGTCTGTAAGTGAGGGCACGAGAATTATGTGCTCGTACGCGACGTACGGGTAGCGGGGGAGGCGATAATCCGCGGGGGAGTAGAGCGGATGCGGTGGAGTGCCCTGGAGAGCAGGGGCATGACTGGATTGGGCTCTGCGGGACGGGGGTGAGGGTCGTCAGTCATGGGTGGCTGCGCGGGCGTCGAGGACGGCGTGGACGGACCTTTATTGAGGGCCATGGTGATGGTGGTGTAGGGAAGAGAGGGGACAGGGGGCAGGGATCCCCACACGTCGCGTCGAGGCTCTCGTCGCCGTCGCACGCCCGAACTCTATTTTCGCGTCCAATATGTTGGGGATGTGACGTCGGCGTCTGTTCCCCCCTAGTCCTAACCCTATCCTCCGCTTCCCCAAACTCCCGAAATGGCAGCCCCCGCTCCTGGCCACGGCCCCGCCCGCAGAGGCGTTCAATCGCGGTCGTTTGCCTACCCCGAGCTCGCCATTGCCCCCATGTGTCCCATGAATGACGAGAGCGGAGATGAAGGAACGCCGTATTTGTGCAACGGAGAGGTAGGACCCTCTCTGGGAGCCCAGTTTCCGAGAATCTATGCGGGTCTTGCCCAGAGCACCCCCGAAGGCTTCAGCGACTATTGATCCAAACGATATACATTAGGCCCGATCGGTGAAAAGCAAGGTATACAGACTAAATGTCCACGTAGAGAGGTGCAGTGAGCATAAGGCTCGTCATAAAATCACGTCATAATCAGGGCGACGAGTTAAGCCCCTCCGTCTTCACAGCCTCAGGCTGAGCCTCTACACTTCCGCTACTCCTCTCGCCTGCCTTCTCGCCCTCCTTGTCGATATTGTCGACGTTCGCAAGCTGATCGAGACCCGGGATCATACGCCCAGGCCAGAAAGGAATGTACACCACCACGGCGATGAAGAGCGGGAGCGAGTCGAGCCCGTAGAAGAACCCCTCGGTCGTGGCGAGGTGGCCCCGATATCCCTGCGAGAGCTCGCTCACACGGTATACACAACGGATCTGGAATATACAGAGAGCGTCATTTTCAGCTCGCGACACACATGAACAAAGCGCGAACACTCACCATGATGCCGATCGAGCTGACGATGAGCACGTAGGAGAGCGTACGCCAATCCTGATGCCACGGCTTCTGAGCGTCTACAGCCCAAGTCTGGGGCTCCCGCGCGGCTACGCGGAATAGAAAGCGTAGAGCGACGATGACGAAGAAGAAAAACGAGACGAGCTGCAGGACAAGTCCCGCCAAGAAGATCTGATGTCCAAAGGAATAAATCAGAGGTAGGCAAAGCGGAACGCGTGTTGCAGAAACATACGTGCTCCCCTGTCTTCGAGAGGCTCTGGTTCTTCGAGATCGACAGACCTGCACCGGCCGCCTTCATAGAGAACTACCGTCAGCGCAAGAGCAGTATGCGACAAAGCGATGAACATGCCTGGACAAGGAATGTTGAAATGTCTGAAGCCACGAACACGACTGTGATCTTCTGCGGTGGGATGAGCAGGTGCTTGTTGGATTGGATGTAGCGCGCAAGGCGGCCCAGGAGCATGTACTCCGCCGCTATAAACGCGCACGGCTTCGGGGACAGCAGTCAGTTGAGAAGCACATATTGAGCAAGAGTATCGATCGTGGTCACGTACCGAAAGCACTATGAATAAATAGTACGCAATGTACAGGCCATTGCTATCAGGGTTTGAGTGAAGACCAAACCTTATCCCAAACCCAATCGTCCATGCTGTAGACAGTCAGGGGTCAGTGATAGAAGGCAAAATGTAGTAAAATGATACACACTAAACTCTCCGATCACCATCGGCAGCATACACCTACCCCCATACTTCCTTAGCAGCGCGCTCTGGGTGATCGCGACGAAGAGGACCAGCGCTGCAGGGAATAGAGGTCAGCGATGTGAGCCAACGGCAGAGCCGTCGGCCAAAAACAGGGAAGCGGATGGATAGCTGATGGACCGACACGGTGGGAACCGTGCGCGATGCCATGTTCCCGTCCTGCCGCACTGCCGCCACACAAGGTTCGCGTGCTTCGTAGCCTTCTCAGAAGCATGGTCCCAAGAAAGGCAACCGTAGTATACAGCTTTAGGGTTTCCTCTCCCAGACCGACGACGAGAGGGGAACGAACGGACTCACAGATGGCGATCGCGGTGAGGGTGTTGCTCGCGATGTACTCGAGAGGGTTGAAGGGATCGTGCTTGGGATCCGTGAACACCCATGGCACTGGCATATACGCCGCTTCCGCCGAGGCGGCGAATAGCGCGAAGCAGGCGAGCGTGGCGGAGGTCCAGCAGTTAGCCATTGAGGCCAAAGCATGACTTGACTGCGTGAACATCCTAGCCGGTCCTCGTTGGGATTCTGCTTAGCAGAACGATAGCAGGCGTGCTGACGAGCGTTCGAGCGGGCGTTCGAGTCGTCAATCGGTCAGAGTCGCTGGAGGAAAAGATGGCGTCTACGGAGAGTTCTAAGGGAGGAGAGAGGGAAACGAGGGGTAAGGGAGTGATCGAGCGAGCTGAAAGTCTGTCATAGTCGACTTTGTCTTGGCCGTGTGGGGATCTCGGCCATACATGGGTGAGCGGCGGCAGCCCATGCTGACTCTCGCCTCTCCCTCGGCTGGCGTGTGGGGTGCTGCTCCCGCGACCGGAGCGCTCATGTGCATGACATAGCCCGCATGCCAGAACTGGTGTATCCTGGGCTCAATTGTTTCGAGGCGGCTAAGACTTGCACCGATGAGATTGGAATATACTGATAGCCTCTGTATGCGTAGATGCATCAAGCTGGCCTCAAGCAACCTCAAGCGGCTTCAGATGGTCGGAAGCAGGGAAGGACAGGATCCTTGAATGCGATGTCGATCCGCAACGAAGTCGCCATAGACGCTACGGGATTCCGGGACAGGGGACACCTCATTGACGTCAGCATGTTTAGCCAATTTATCGGCTATGTCAGGCACACAAAACCCTCGGCAGTCGAAAGCGTAGTGATCTAGATTCAATTCCGGTCAACATGCAAGGTCCGAAGATCTGAAGCTTCGAGGCTCGCGGAAAATCATCGATGCAAGCAAATTGTTTAGCGAGGAAACATACACACAACAAAACACGGAGCAATACGGTAAGAGCATCGACAAACGCGGCCATAGTAGGCGATATTTTACGCTGGGCCCCAGATCCTGACCTCCCGTCCGGTGACGCCCCAGATCTCCTTGCCCTGGGCACCGAAGACAATGTCGGAGACCTCGCCGCCCTCCTCGAACCGCACAAGCTCGTCCCACGTCTTGTGCGCGATGACACGGAGGCCCTCGTTCCCGCCGACGGCGAAAAAGTTCGCGCTGTAGTCGTACCGGACCTTGTTGACTTTGAACGCGTCGCCCAGCGGGATAGACTTGGCGATCTTCGGTTTCCGGAGATCCCAGATAGCGACCGAGGCCAGCGAGTCGGGCGCGGCGAGGTGATAGCCGTTCTCGGAGAACGAGAGGGTGTTGACGGTGAAAGGCGGGGCATCTTGAGGAGTGAGCGAGGCGGCGAGGGAGCCCGACCGGATGTCAAACACCTGGATGCTGCCTCCTGGCGTGCCGACCGCAACGAGCGTGCCGTCCGGGTGGACGTCAAGAGAGGTGAACGGCTCCTCGAATTCGGGCGAACGGTACACCTGTGTAAAGTTGGTGAGGTCGTGGAGAGACCATGTACGATCACCAGAGCTGAGTGCCAGGAGAGTGGAGGTGGGGTGCACCGCAAGCCCGGTGATTTCGCCCTTGTGCGTTCTGATGGTACCCGCAGTCTTGTACTCTCCAGACGCCTTGTCGTGTGTCCAAGCCTTCGCGATCTTGTCCGCGCTGCCGGACAAGACGAGGGTAGACTCACCCTCGCGCTCGCGGAACGCGACATGGGTAACCTTCTTTGTGTGGCCCTTGAGGGTCTGAAGAACCTTGTCGGTGTCCCTATCATACAGCTGCACGACCTTGTCGTTACCGCCAGTTAGGAACTGGGAAGGGTTAGCGGTCGAAACGGCCAAGGAGTTGATGCCCGAAGGTGAGGGCGAGTGGAGAGAGGGGATCGTGTGCTTCGCGGTGTAGCCCTTGACATCGTCAACAGTGGCATAGCCCTCGGGAGCCTTGCGCTTCTTGCGCGCTGCAGAGAGGGTAGCGTGCGTCTCGTCGATCTGCTTGAGTGTCTCCGCGGGCAATCCCCCGGTCTCCGGAGCTGCCTCTCCCATCTCCACATCTCCACCTGCTCCCGAAGCTCCCACATTCATCGTAGCAGCAACGCTGCTCAGCGCCCTGGAGTTCAATGTGTCAGAATCACAGTTATAAGGATCCGCGTCATCATACTCACTCTCGTGCTGCGTCACGCTCCTTGATGAGACGCGCCACGACGCGTTGCGCCGCGTCTTGTGCGTAGAGGGCATAACTGAGCTCCTGACGGAGGGAGTTATATTGCTGCTTGAGCGAAAAAGTCTCGAGCATAGCCGCGTCCCATTCATTTTGGAGGGTTTGGAGGAGCGCAGGGATGGAGCTCGCATTTGGCGGCCGCGGCGGCGCTGCTTTTGGGTCTGCGCGTCCAAATACGCGGTAAACATGAATGGGTGCAAATGCAAAGATATAAGGCGGCATTGGAGACAGGTACGCACTCGCTTTCACGGTTATAAGGTCTCCCTCCTCCAACTTATCCCCAGTAATTGGGTCCGTCCCATTCTCGGTGATGTACTTCAGGATGAGCCTCCTCTCATACACATGGCCGGACTTCGAGGACACGACAGGGTCCTGAGGAGGTTCGCCGGAGATAGAACAGAAAAAGGACATTCTGGAGGAAAGCGTCGGTCGAGTGTCGAAAGGAACCACTCAGAGAGAAGAGGCGCCTGTCCATGCCACCGGGCAGATCGAGAGGCAGCGTATTTGCAGCTGTTGGGCGCGAGCGCTCCCCCGCTCCCGCCGCGACCCTCTGCGCAGACCTCCATCATGTCCAACAAGCAGCGACTTGTCCTCTCGATCCTTGAGTTTCTCAACCAGTCCGTACAGGACGGCACCGTCAAGCAGGATGACCAAGAGAGCTTGGAGGTAGCCAGTGCGTCCCGGACTCTGGCATCGGCTCGCAGGCGCGTATCTTGACCTTATCCTTCTCGGCTACTCGTAGTCCAATGCATTGGAGAGGCCTTCGGCGTCGACCCCAACAACCAGGAGCAGGCCGAACGCCTGTCCGTCAAGCCTGCGACGCTCCTCTCCATCTTTGAGGTGTTCCTGAAGACGCGGGACAAGCTTTCCTCGGGTTCCACAGACGCCGCCGCACCGTCTGCATCGGACAAGGCGGCGGCGGAGAAGTTAAAGGCTACCGGAAACTCGCAGATGTCTGCGAAGAAGTACGACGATGCCATCAAGTCGTACACCGAAGCGATCAAGCTTGATCCTACGAATGCCGTTTATTACTCGAATCGCGCTGCCGCATACTCGAGTAAGAACGAGCACAGTTCTGCCGCTCTCGACGCCGAGAAGGCGATTGAGGTCGACCCCTCGTTCGTGAAGGCATACCACCGGCTAGGGTGCGTCGTTTCCAACGCTTGATCCACTAGATATGTTCTCATGTACTCGACCCTCATAGACACGCACAATACTGTCTTGGTGACTTCAAGGCTGCGGCTGCGGCGTTCCGCCGCGGCCTCGAGATCGACCCCTCGAACGCCTCGCTCAAGACCGGTCTCCAAAACGCTGAGGCGCGCATTGTCCCAGATGAAAACTTCGATGACATGCCTCCTCTTGACCCCGCGCCTTCTGCTAGCAGAGCGGGTGCAGGTGCAGGTGCAGGAGCTGCTGGTCTGGGTGGTATGGCCGACATGCTCCGCAACATGGGTGGTGGAGGTGGCGGTGCTGGTGCTGGTGCTGGTGGCATGCCAGACTTGTCCTCCTTCTTGAACAACCCGGCGATGATGCAGATGGCCCAGCAGATGATGCAGAACGGTGGTATGGAAAGACTCATGCAAAATCCCGCTGTCGCGAACATGGTACGCCTACAGAGCCCGCTCGTTGTACCCGTCATACTTACTTTTAACGCAGATGAACCGTATGCAATCTGGCGGAGGCATGCCATCCATGGCAGAACTCATGAGCGACCCCTCATTGAGAGATCTGTAAGTCATTCGAGCTCGCATCTCGTACGACTATGCTGACCTGACTGCGTAGTGCGAGTCAGTTTGGTGGCGGAGCTCAGTAAGGAACGGACTTTCACAGACGACTGTAAGCAGCATATAAAACTACATGTATATTCTCAGGCACACCAGGTAGTCTTTTGTTTACGAGATGCAATTGATGATCGCGGCGCTTTCCTGTATGTCAGTGGTGCAGTAGCCAAACGATATGGTTGTGGAATGCTATGATTGTCTATCATGTATGCTTGAGTACAAGTACAAAATTCACTGGCCGAATCGAACGAAAGGTACATGAAGCAGAGTAGTTCCAGCTGCAGTATGAGTGTAAAGGTACCGCAATAAACGTTCACCGATTGCCTCGGACGCTGCGCCGCAGTTGTCTTCCGGACTCCTGCGAGCTCCCGGCTTGAACAAGGTTCTCGATTTCTTGCTCAGTCACAGCGGGTTTCTTCAGCTGCCTGTAGGTACTGTGTCAACTCGATCGTCTGGGTCCCATTCGCCGGAAAGTGTTTACCGTTTCTTTTTCTTCGCAACATCGACCTCACCCTTCTGCGGGATATACTCTGCTCCAGGGCCCGCTGCAGAGGCGGCCTCCGCACGAGCCTTCTTGTTCGGAATGATGACAGTCGAGTCCCGACCACCTAGTGAGAGACTGTCCAACTCTTGCTCGAGCTCAGCGATCGCTCTTGAGCTTCGAGTCGATCCCCGCCCACGCGACGCTGGCTGTGGTGCACGCTTCACTTGGGCTGTCGCGAGTGGTATGTCGGCTGGGGCAATCTTCGCCGCTACGGCCTTGCCCTTCGTGGTGGGTCGGGCCGGGGTCGTCTCAGACGACTCGGACTCTGTTGAGTTCTGGATCTCATCTTCATCAGCATCTTCGGATTCGAAGTCAGAGATCTCCTCGTCGTCGTCATCATCGTCATCCTCGTCCGGGCTCGCAGTCTCGACCTCATCCTCCGTCTCGGTCTCGTCGACATACATGTCATCGTCGCCGGAGTCGCTTTCTAGCACCTTCGCGGGCCCGCGCTGGTTCGGTCGCAGTGTGGATTGCCGCTTGGGTGCGGGCTTGCCTTTGCCGGCGAGAGGGGAGGGCGTGCGGTCCCGCGCGTCGGAATCAGAGATGGCGTAGGCTTCAGAGTCGTTGCTCTCGTAGTCGGCGTCGCGCTGCATGAACAAAGGTTAGCACAAATCAAATTATGTTGCGCGGCTCATCATACTCCTGCAACGGACGAGGTCCTGTCGTCGAACTCGCCTTCACCGACGTCGCTCATCCTCAATGGCCCAACAGCGTCCGACTCTACCGAATCTGCAACGGAGCCTGAGTAGTCGGAGCGAGGGCCAGCTACTCGGTTGAGCACTCGTGATCGCTGGATCATGTCGAGCTTCGCGTCCATCTTCTCCTCATTATGCTCCATCTATGAACACGAAAGATGAGCTGCGGCGCATGAAGACGTCGGGCTGGCAGAGAACACACCACACGCATGAGGCGACGGGTGAACATGTCCTCCATACTCCGCATACGCTCTTCCATCTCGATCATGACTTCTTCGCGAGTCTCGGCCTCGATCAGTGCACAGCGGAGGTGGGCGTCATAGAGCTGCATGCCACGCATATATCAGTCCTGATACGAGAGAAGTATCACCAAGTAACTCACCTGCATTCGAAGTTCCTCGACCTCATCGAAGAGAGCATTGACAAGGGGGTTGATCGGCTCTTCATCCTCGACGCTCGTCTCCTCCCCATCATCAATTTCTTCGTCCTCTGCAGCAATCGTCAGCCATACGCTACCCTGGAGACACTCCATCCACTCACCCTCAAGCACCTCGAGGTGCGCCTCGCTCACCTTCCTCCCTGGGCCCCCAAGCGAGATTGTGACCTTCCTCCTGTGCGGCGCACTCGGCCTCGCCCCGGGGCCCGACGGAACGCGGGACTTCGTCGGGCTCGGCGGGATCCTCGACACTGCCTGCGCAGGGGTCGTCGCCACCTCCCTTGCGAGCGCTGCGAACTTCATCACGTGCACGTTCTCGTCGAACCCCGTGTCGTACGGGTTCACGTTGACGATCATGACCGCCTTGCCCCCGCTGCCCTCGCTCACGAAGTAGTCCATGAGGATCTCGGTGAGCTTGCTGTGGCGGAAGGGCACGAGCGCGAGGGTGCGTTTGACGTCGCGCGTGTCGAGCTGCGTGCCCGGGCGCACGCCCTGCTGGAGGGAGCGCGCGAGCGCGCGCTGGTTCACGCGGAGCGTCTCCATGCATTGGCCGAGGACCATGAGCGACTTGTTGATGTTGCCCGCTTCGCGGAGGCGCTCGCCGGAGGTGTGCGTGTGCTTCGTACGCTCGGAGCCGGCGAGGTCGACGAGCGTGAGGCGGGCGGTTTGGATGCATGTTGGGTCCTGTTGGGTCAAGGGGCACAGCTAAGCGATGGTACGTGGACCTGAACCCAAGGGACGTACGTTCCGCTCTCCGCGGTGGACGCGCAGAACCTTGATCGTGACGAGAGCGTGGCTCCGGCTGCTTTGGCTGTTGGCGAGCGTGCCGAAGACGCGACGGTGCAGCTGGCCTACACGCAAGAGCTCCTTCGCTTCTGCGGCACTCTTCACGCGGACCTGTCGCAAACCTGCGACGTACTTGCCTGCGCTCGCCATGTCGCCATCCCCATCACTCGCAGGGCACGGCTTGACTGTGAGCGCCTTCCGGGTGAGCAGCAGTGGAGGCGCTTTGTTGGAGGGCAAGGGCATGTTCAGGAAGGCTGATGTTGAACGAGGTATCCCAGAAGGAACCGAGTTCGGTGGTCCTGATTCTAGGGAGCCGAAGAGGTCGTAGACCTTCTCGTTGTAGACTTCGGCGTAGGACAACCAGATGGTATACTCATAGTTACGGTCGAGCTTAAGGACAGTAGGATCGGTATCTGTGCTTGACGTGGAGGACGAAGGTTCATCTTCGAGCACGTCGGCGAGTGCAGGGGCACTGTTCTTGCTCGGGAGGCGGATTGACGTCGGTTCGTCGGACTCCGAGGCGAGCTCGATGCCTTGCAGGCGCACTGGTCTATACTGAATGGAAACGTCAGGTCAGCAAATAGTGCTACCTTTAGTGCTACCCTTGATGGAGAACATAGCTCACCTTGCCGTCTCCGTGCAGTCCCTCTATGCTATTGAAGATTACGTCAAGCGTCCTAGGTAGGATGCCTGCGCTCCCTTCGGAGCTCCCTCCCTGGATTGTATAGGTTTTGCCAGAGTTGGTAACGCCATATGTAAAGAGCAGTCCATTTTGTCCTTCGAGGACATCCCTAACTAGCGGAAGGGTGGTGTTGCTGAAGAAGTCGGATTGGGACGTTTCTGGGGGGAACACGTGCGAGAAGGTATAGATAGAAGATGGGTTGATCGTCGACAACCGTGAATGGGTCGTGGACGAGGACGGATCGGTCATTCGGACGGAGGTGTCTGTAAGTGGCTCGAGGTATGGCTCATAGCTTGCATCCGAGTCGTCCAGCCGCGGACGGATTCTAAGGAAAGCCTGGTGATGAGTTCAGCAAGCCAGTCCGCGCGGGCTAATACAGTAAGAAGCAGTCATATGACATCGAGAATATAGATTCTATGTGGTGTCTTGAGGTGTTTCCCCCGTGTTTTTTGAGTACTTCCGTAGACATTACGCATACGATGCTTTGCGGCTCATGGGCAAGAGCGCATGGAACAGAAAATTGCGCAGCCTCACAAAACTATAGAAGAGTGGCATACCTTGATTGGTTCTCTATCCGAGTCTGGAGAAAAGTCTACAGAGAGCGTGGACACCGGCTTGTACGCCGGCTTGGACACAGCGGCAGGTTTCGGAGTGGCATTACGATCACTTGGCTTTGCATCGGGAGACGTATTCCTATTGACCAACGGCTTGCGGGCAGTAGTCTTCTTGGCAGGGGCAGCAGCTGACTTGGAGACTGCACGCGTAGTGCGAGAAGGGGCAGGAGGATCAGCCGTCTGTGTGGCGGTCTTTGTGCGAGTGGAGGAGCGGGTGGCCTTGGGTTTGCTTGCCATGTCGGCTGGGGCGAGTGCGACGACTGCAGGGTGTAGATATGCAAGGCGAGGGGGAGAGCTGCGCCGGCAGAGATCGATGCAGACGAGAACACGGCGGAGGTGGGTGGATCGATGCCAGGCTCGCGATGCGCACAACCACGGGCATCGCGTCCGTCACGTGGCCGACGCGTTCCTCCGCCCGCGCGCAACACGCCACCGCGTCTCTCCTCACCACCACGCCGGCCGCAGTGCCCTCCGCTTCTTGGCTTTGCTTTCTCTTGGATCGTGTTGGATATGTCGAAGAAGAACTCTCCGAACAGACGACGATCAATTGCCACCCTTGGACACGGCCACGCAAAGGGCACCAGCCACAGACGGCGCGCCTACAGTATCGCCCCCGGGGAACGTATCAGCCCCGCTGCCAAAGCCCGACGACTATTGGTAAGTTCCTAGCTTCTTGCATTTGGATTAGGCGATGTGGGACATTGCAGAGTAGCTTGTACCAGCTCTCTCCAGGGAGAATGAGAGATGGATGAAGTTTGCCCGACAAGACGGAGGTTAGCGCAACATGATCGAGCCGTGCGGGGGAATACATAGTCATACCACCCTACGGCGACAAATTCGAGTTATCCATTGTCATGTGCTCATCTTTGCCTCTAGGCCCCACGCAAGAGTATACTCAAAGCCTCCCTCAACCTCCCCCACGCCCGACCTTCAGATGCAGGCGAATCCTCTACGTCTGTCGGTGCGGACGACACCGCCAATATCACACAGACTATGGACATGACAGAAGTACATGGCGCAGGTCCCCGCAAGAGCCTCGCCCGCCGTGTCAGTTTCGCCGCCCACACCCATGTCCGCCTCTTCCACATTCAAAGCCCCGACGTCAACAGCTCCTCCTCCCCAGCAGCTGCATCTCCCGCTGAGGCTAACGCTCCCGCTTTCATCACACGAGCTGAGAACGACGAGAACGCAGTCCCCGGGCGACGGCGAAGTTCGTTCCGCCGGCGGTCCTCCGGAGCTTTCAGCGAGTTCGGCGAGCGGTCGATGGACATGGATCTAGACGACACAGCTCCTCTTCCTCAAGACTTCTTGCCGCAGAGAGGCCAGATGGTCGATGGTTCTGCGGTGGAAGACGACGAGTTCACAGAGGACGACGAGGATGAGTCCGACATGGAGGTCACGGAGGCTATCGCGCTCAACATCGAACGTAAGCGTTCTCTATCTCTCGGTGGTAATAGAGTGTCCCTCGGCGGTCCCAGCCGTCGCAGATCCTCCATCGTCACCGTCACACAGCACCAGAGCGAGAACCAACCTCCGCTTCCGCGACCACAGCACGACCCCAGTGAAACGTCCACGATCCAGGAGGAAGGCGAGTCGTTTGTGGAGGAGGATGTGACGGCCTCATCTGCGCACACCGGATCCTCGTACATGTCCGAAGGTTCGTCTGGCGAGCCGATGGAGTTCACTATACCTGTGCTGCAGTCCATGCGACAGCCCAAAGAACCGGACCCCCTTTGGCTGCAGCTTCGGGCTATGACCCATGCCGGGAGCGAGCCCTACGAGCCCCCCCCTCCGGAATCCGACGATGACGCGCTGCTCATTCAACCGTCGCCTGGAGGAGGCGACCACGGGCCGTCTCGCTACGACGAGTCTGAGGCGATGGACGAGAGCGTAGATGTAGGAGGGGAACAGGACATGGACCTCACCTCCGCCATGACGCGCCTGCAGAAGGCGCGCGCATCGCTTGGCATCCCGCCCTCGCCAGGTGGACCGGCTGTGGTGGAAGAGGACAGCAGCTTTAGTGAGCAGGAGATGCGCGATGATACGTTCAGCACGGAGGACAGCTTCGGAGACAACTCGATAGACCTGGACAACCGCACGATGAATCTCACGCAGCGCTTGAGTCTCGCGACGACCGAGGAGTCCGGCCTGGACGAGACGGACATCCACGACGGCGTCTTAAAAGTTCCTATCACCCCGAACTCGGCTCCTGCCCAGCAGATCTCACCTCCTGCAGCGTCGAACGCACCAGCCGCCGCGCCGAAACCAGCACCGGAACCTTTCCGTAGCAGCGTCTTCAGCGCGCCCACGCCGGGCGGCTTGTCCTCGAGTGTGTTCTCCGCCCCACCTCCCTCAACAGCACCCAAGCCTCCCTCATCAACCCCCAAACCTCCCGACGAACGCGCCCGGTCTCCCGCCAAGTCGCCTGGTCCCGCGACCGTCCCGAAGCCGTTCACATTCAACCTCCCTCGCGCAGGCTCACCCTCAAAGACCCCCGTACCGAAGCCCCCCAGCCAGCTCCAAGCACTACAACCACAACCTCACCGAGGCAGTGCGGCGTTCGCTCCGCCTACCGTACCCAAGTCTCCCAAACGCCCCGCCTCTGCGCTCGAGACCCCAGGCTCCCTCCAACCCCCCACCAACGTAGGCCGGCTCGACCCTTCGCGGACGGCCGCGTTCGAAGCCCCAGCAGTGGCAAAGAGCGCCACGCAGCCCGTCGCAGGGACCAACGCGAACCGACGCGCGAGCATGAGCATCCGCCGCCCGTCCGGCTACTTCGCGCAGCGCAAGAGCCTCGGGGCCGGTGTCCTCCCTCCCAATCCGAACGGCAGCCGTGCGAGCAGCCCGGAGAAGGTCTCGGGCGGGGTGGGGCTTGCGAAGCCTCGCGCGAGCGTGGGTGCCCAGCCCTCGGGGGCGGGTTTGGGGTTCCCGCTGTCGCGGACCCGGAGTGATCCTGGACCTTCAGCTGGTGTTGGCGGCCAGCCGGAGAATGGGAGTGCGATGTATCCCGACCTCTCGGAGCTCGCGCAGGAAAGTCAACGGCAACGGCAACGAGCCGCGAGTCCAGTTCCTCCCTCCGCCCCTGCTCTGAACAAGGGGAAGGAAAAGGAGAGCGAGGAGGCGACGCGACAAGCTGTCGCTCCGCCCAGCCCTGTGCGAGCTTCGCCCGCTCCTGAGCCCAGGTCGGGTTCCCCGGGCTTGCCTCATCGCGTTGCGTCCCCGATCTTAGGCTCGCCAGCCAACGCTCATCGTGCTGCTTCGCCTGCGACGGCCTCGCCCGCCGGCCCTCAGGGCACTGCTTCGCCCACGGATGCGTTCGTGCACATGCCTCGACCGGCGCCCGTCACGCACATAGGACAACCGCAGCGCGTTGTAGACGTCTCGATGGCTATGGACATCGAGCCTCCTACGCCCGGTGGTACGGGCGTTTCGCAGGCCTGGAGAGAGAGCGTCCCTGAGGAGCCGCAAGACGAAGATGGAGTGAGTGAATCGTTACCTTCACGCGAAGCGATAGTAGATTGAGTGACGCCTTTCCTGCGTAGCCCTCCATCTCGATCGAGCAGTTCTTCCAAATGACAGGCATCCGCTTCATGGATGAGCTGACGATGCCTCGCCCGCGCCGCTCCACGGTCGGCCCTGGGCAGCTCCGTCCGCGTGCACGCCAACGGCCCTCTGGCCCAGACGACCTCGCGACAAGCGGGGCAGAGGAAGATCCTATTCCGCTCGCAGAATTTGCGATCGCGATGGCGGTGGACATGCCGCGGATCGACCTGTACACGGCCGTTGCGCGCGACTTGATGGCGTACATCCAGGAGTGCAAGAAGATCTACCGGGAAGCGGAGGAGGAGGCGCTCAAAGACACTCCGAGTCTCTTCCGCGAGTTCGCGATGGTCGACGAGAGCGAGCAGGCAATGTTGATTGTGCGTGCATTTGAATGATTGTGCAGTGGAGGGGCGTAGGCTGATTGAGGCACGCGTCGTAGCACCAACTGAAGCTCATCAAGGCGAACAACATTGGCACTGCTAAGTCGCAGTGGTATGACTGGAAGCTGCAGTGGGTTGAACAGCTATATGAGAGCGCCTCGCAGGGCTTCACCAACCTAGAGCAGGTGAGCCTTGTCATGACACCCCATTGATCTTATACGTGAACATCGTCCACGTAGGATGCGACCTACCTCGCAGGCGTCATCAAAGAGGCGCAGGACCTTTTGCCAGAACTTCGCCAAGAGTATGAGGAAGTGACCCGTCTCCTCGAGCAAGAGCAAGCCGACATTGACGAGATCGAGAACTCGGACCAGGACTATCTCAACGAGCTCAAGGCCTCTATAGCGGAGCAAAGGTGCGTGCGATCACACGTGATTGAGACTTGAAGTGAGCTAAGGTCCGTTCTATAGCAATGAGATCGAAGCCTTCAAGGCAGACGTCTCCGAGGCGAAAGCGAAGCTCGAACGGCTGGACGAAAAGCTTGGGGAGATCGAGTCTCAGAAGAAGGAAGCCAACACCGCGATCAACCAAGCTCGCCATATCGTCCACATCCAGAAGGAGAGCACCAGTGCAGAAGTGTTCAGGCTGAAGGGTGAGTCCCACACATCCCCGCACACTTGCGATGGACGGCGTTCTCAACCATGCATGCGATAGCGGAACTCGAGGCATTGGAAGACCTCCACCTATGGCACACAACCAAGCTATCGCCGCAACTTGTCGAGTTTGTCTATGCGTCCAAATACCATGTATTGGTACCATGCACCAAGTATACCCCCATATGCGCTCAAGTCCAGGTCCAGAAGACCGAGCAGGCCAAGACGAAGGAGAAGGACTCTTTCCCTAACTTCACAGAGCTTATTGTCCGGACTGCCCATAGGCTCATCTCCGAGTCTCAGGAGAAGCTCAACCTCAGAGAGGTACGTGTTCACCTTGACAACCCATGAAGATCCTGTTTGACGCAAGGCCGTGCTGTAGGTCGTCGAGCGCTTGAGTGACTTCTGGTCGTCGTGCGCGCAGTTCCGTTCCCAGCTTACCTTCCTCGCGATCAAATACCCTCTCGTCGTAGAAGGTATCTTCGACGATGCCGGAGAAGAGTATCTGAAAGCGACGGCGGCCGTCATGTTTCCTAGTGCGAAGGGCAAGGCGTATATCTCGTTCCTCTTAGATAAGGACACCTATTCCCGCTGGCCGCTTTCTGTCCGTGGGCTCAAATCGCACGTCGAAGTTGCCTACGGTGCCATCCAGTATGTAGTCTTGGTTCCTCTCGGTTATACGCATCTTAACGGAGTTTGTTCAGGAGCGACGCCATCTTGGCAGCCATCCTCAACCGCTTATCCCAAGTCAGCCCAGCAGATAGCCACGGGTGTCTCTTGGACGCTTGCATCGAAGCGACAGAACAGTATGAGTGATTTATGGAGATATATATGCACTGTGTACAATGTACAATACCCACGATCCGAAATCCAGATACGCTGGTATCAAAAGAAATGTGACGATGTCCAAGGACAGGTAGTGAAACGAAGGGAGTCATGATGAGAGCATAAGGGGCATGGGGATACAAATACCAAGACATTGCACGAACGAGAGGGAGGGTAGATATATAGATGGTAGTGACCTGATTGATGGTGGCCAATTTAGAATTTCCACCGAACAAATAGTGAACCCGTGAAACTCACAACAGATCATGTAGTGTACACGCTCAGTGGCAGGAAAGCTGCCCAAGGGTGTGCTCCAGCCCAGCCAAGAGCAGCCCCAACATCTCCCGGTTCGCGCGCACGAGCTCCAGCTCGCTCTCCGCCGTCTCCCGGACGCAGTACCACGCCGAGCGCGCTTCACTCGCGGCAGACGAGATCTCCGCCCTCGCCTGCACCTGACGTACTTGGAGCGCCGCAGCCCGCGATGCGCACATCGCGTCCTCGGCTCTCCGTGCGACGTCCTTCACGGACTGCTCGTGCGCCACCTGCGCGTCTCGGAGCATCTCCTCGAGGACGGCGATCTGCTCGGTCCGCTGGCTCTCGATCGCGAGGTTGCCGTGCACCTGCTCCTCGAGCTCGGAGATCTGCCGTGAGAGCTCTTGAGCATCGCGCATGCGTGCCTCCTTTGCGTGATGCAGTTGCTCTTCAAGCGACTGCATCTGGGCGAGGCGTTCTTGCGCACGGTTTTCAGCCGCGGCAAGCTGTAGGCGGAGGAGTGTGAGAGCTGCGCTGTCAGCCTGCGCCTGCTCAGGCTTCATATTGTCGAATAGATGGGTGGTGTTGTGGATAGCGGGTGAAGGTGTCACTTCGGGCAAGAGGACCTGGGAGATTGAACCATACCCGGTCGGTGAGGGGAGCGCAGAAAGGCTGGGACTATCCGGAATGTCTATGACACTCAGGCTAGGCGAAACGGCTCCAGGGTGGAATGGCGCAGGGATCTCAGATATCATACGCTCGACATCTTCGTCGTCCAAAGTCTTACTATGCTGCGCGAGCTGCTCCCAAGACAGGATAGACCCGCGATCATTGCCTAGGAGCCGTTGCTTCGGGCGCAAGAACGGAGAGCTTTCGGTAGACGAAGGAGGTGCGGGGGAAGCATACGAGAGGTTCGCGCGGCTGGGCAGAAAGCCGGGACGAGAGGGTGTCTGCGGGTTGCCACCGCTGGTACCTTGCCGTCGCACTCTCGGAATCGCAGGTGTCGGTGCGGATGGAGAGACAGCGGACCCGAGCAAAAACTCGACATCGTCCGCCTCGATGCTGTCCACGCTGCTGTCATGAGTGATGATAATCGGGGTCGGCGTCGCTGGCACTGATGCGCCCCGCGTGTGTAAGATAGGACCAGAGCCGCCATGCTTCCGGGCCGACATCCGACCAAGAGGTGATTCAGGCGGGCCCATCGCACCGCGTAAAGGACTAGGACTGGCGGAGACATTTTGCAAGCGAAGGGAGTTCGAACCCTTCGGAATGTTCCCAAAGACTGTAGGGGTAGGCGGGGTGTTGGGTGCGCGCGAGGAACCAGATACGGATGCTGCAGATGGAGGGCGATGGGGACCAGAGCGGACAGACCCCGTCGAGGCGGGGGGAGTGGAGGTCTTGCTCAACTTCGAGGCTTTCGTAGATGTAGTGCGTACAGATGAAGGGGACGACTGAAGCTTCGGCAAGCCCTTGTCCTTCTTCTCGGGAGTCGATGGGGAGACATTGATAGCAGTGGTCAGGTTAACCTTCAGTGCATTGGGATGGGGATTTGGGGAAATCGACCGGCTCGATTTGCCTTCGGCGGGTGTCACGCTTAGTCTAGCGAGCTCCTTGGGGGTCTTCACCTCGTCTGTCTCGTCATCAGAGCTGCTCTCCCGCCGCCGCCCCTTCTGGTTCGTCGGCGACACAGATTTCTTCGGGGCAACAATCGCGGTCTCGCCCAACGCGGAGCGCGGTCTGTACTTTGGGAGTCCAGAGCCGACAAGAGAGTTGCGGTTGCGTACCGACGACCGGGAAGCGACCGAGCCCTTGCTCGCCTTGCTTGCTGGGCTCGGGCTGTCGGAGGGCGACGAAGACTGGTCCTCGCTGGCGGCGGCGAGCTTCCTGAGTGCGGACTGCCTGCGCGAATGACGAGTGATGGTCTTAGCGTCGGGAGAGTCCTCGGTGAGCTTCCTCGACGGAGGCTTCTCGGTGGATGCACGGGCGGGGGGCGCAACGCTGACGGCGCTGGTGCGGCGCGCGGCGGCGTCCTTCTTCTTTGCAGCCTTCTCCTTCTCCCTCTCGTTCTCTTTCGAGTCCTTGTGCATGACGTCTGCGAGGGCCTTGCTGACAGAAGAGAGGCCGAATGACTGGCGAATAGAGCTCCGCGTCGTTGGTTTAGTGCGTGCTGGCGCGCCACTAGCCGACGCGACTTCAGCGGGCATGATGGTGAACGCTGAACACGGCCAAAGCGGTTATAAGGTGAGTGTGAGTGTGTAGAGTGTTCGTGAGGATCGTGAGCGAGGGTATAGGGATGGGGTATGATTTGTGGATCAACGGTCGTCGCGGGATCGTTGCTATAGTCGTGAACCTGGCCTCGGTTGCATCGTGTGAACTGCAGTTCGATTTCAACCACTCGCCTCGCCCTGCCGCGCGTTTCTGTCCAAGTCCCGGTCAAGCGCCCCTTCACAAGGCAGCACAAGTTCTACATACTCTCCCCCTTTGTCGATCCTGCCGTCACACACGCACTTCTCGATGCTCAATGTTCCTAAACAGTGCTCTATTCTCCGTCTGTCTACCACATGAATCGTCCTACCCCTGCCCGCTCCTTGCATAAGAACACCCACATTGTCACGCCGTTGATCGCCGCGTACCACAGACACTCCACCGCGAGTCCCCAAAGCGGGACGTCCTTCACCTGCGCCCTTAGTAGAATGTACGGTATTAAGAAGTAGCGCGGCTCCAGAAGGGGAGTAGGGAGCAGCGTAGGCACCACGAGTACCGGCAGAAGCACGCTTTGCAGCAGAGTTTGGTCATGTCCTGTGAGATCCGGATCGTTCAGCGACGGCTTGCGCTCCGAGAAGACCTCGCGATGCAAGTGATACACACCGATGCGAAGATACCACGCCCACGCGCAGGCGATGTACCCTGGAACGAGGAGGTATGGCACCAATCGGTGCAACAGAAAGACGCGTCTCCAGATGTAGAAGGTGTAATGGCGATTGTCGGACAGCAGGAATGGGTGCTGGATCCTGGTGTAAAGCGCGTTAGTAATGCTGCGGGGTTTCAGAAAACGGCCCAGACGAACGTGAACTTGTAGATGGTCAAACTCATGACCGCGGACACTAAGCAAGTAACAAGCATGTTCCTGGAAAGAAAATTAGACATGACGCAAAATCAGCCTTGCACTACAGAGGTAGGTACCTTTTGCTCCCAAACATTCTTGCATATACATCATGACCCAGCGAGACGATGCCGCCTTTACCGCTCAACAAGGCCGGCCATCCAAAAGCGGTCGCAAAGCCCACGAAGTAGTAAAGCTGCGGGACATGGAATGCAGGTATATGGTTCGACTTGTCGCCTATGATCAGAAGGATAAGTTTGCCGGTCCGATCGACGACCATCATACGATCAATGCGACTGACCGAGAACGATTCCTCCATTCCACACGATGAACGCTCCGAATGCTGCCACAACCAGGGTATAGGGAACAAGCGCGGGCAGGAGTTCGGGAAGGACCTTCGGCACACTCAGTATCGACTTGATCAAGTCAACTGTAAAGTTATGAGGTGGCCGCGTGTCAGAGAAAGGAAGCCCTATGATGTTCGATCTGCAACGAACCCGGGCGCGCTTCCAGGGCAAGTGGATCGTAGAATTGCGCAGTGGGCTTCACATCCGGAGGTGCGCGCCGGAATCGCAAAGCCATGAGCTGGCTGGATGCGTACGCGTACAGAACCCATATAATGTTGTTCTGGCGGAATGTGCAGCTGACCAGACCTAACTGCCATACTTGTCCCCCGTGAATTCCTCTCCGATACATCGCTCGAGGCAATCGAGACATACCGATGCAGCGAGCCAATGCTTTCCCTGTAAGGCCAACACCACGCTTGAGACTACGGAGACTAGGCTGGGAACTTCTGTGTAGTAGAGAAACCCATAGAACCAGGCGAGAGGGAACGAGGCGAGGATCACCGCTTCCAGTAAAGGTGTCGTAACGGATGGCGGAGGTCGCTCACGCTTGTGGAAGGATAAGAGAGGTGTTAGGACGATGGGAAGGGCAAGCAAAGATAACATCGTGGTCAAGCGGAGCATCGAGAGGTTGCACTTGAACAAGAAGATCTTCTTCAGTATGAGGCTGAACACATAACTGCCGAGGTCTTCAGCATTGACGCGTCCCTCAAGTAGCACACACTCACAGTCCTGGAGGGGTGGTTATTTTCGGGTCCCAGGTCCAATAGTCACCGTTGCAGTACGCCTGCGCCTGCGGGACATGAAACGGCTCGTCCTGCGACATTCTTAGCCTTGGAACACCCTGGTCCCGGCACAAATCGAGTGATAACTCACCATGTACGGTTCCGTAACCTCCTCATTGACTGCCTTCAAGACTGTCACTGCGACTGCGCAGAATATTACATAGTATGTTGGTGTCGGGGAAGCGGACGACATGACGGCGCACTGGCAGATGTGTGCTACCAATTTAGGGAAAACGACACGGGTAACGCGCATGTGCGTCTAAAAAACGCGTCTCTCCTGACCGCGAGTTCGCGACGGTCGTCCTGACGTGCATACATGATCCCCACACCCGACTTGTCCCATCTGAAAGCTGCGGACTACCAACATGTATACGAGCCAGCGGGTATGCGTTGGAATTTGGGATCGCAGCTCATCGGTTTGACATTTAAGCAGAGGACACGTTCATACTGCTAGACGCGTTGGAGGAAGACGCGGATGTGCTTCGCAACCTGCGTCCTCGGATTTGCCTCGAAATCGGGTATATCATTTAAGACGTGCGTGTGTGGGGTTCACTGAACATCCGAATAGGTCTGGGTCTGGCTGTGTCAGCACATTTGCTGGCAAGATACTCGGGTCTACGACTTCCTGTAGGGCCTCTGTATCCTGAACCACAGACGCTCTCCCTCTCATCTCCCATCTGCCCTCAGTATATCTGGCTACAGATTTTAACCCGCACGCAACCCAGTGCACAAAACTCACAGGGCGTCAGAACAAAGTGGGTCTAGCCTTCGTAATGTCATACTATCGCGAACGGACCGGCCCTCAGTAGGTTCCTGTCGAACCATTATTAGCATCCTTGGCGGGACCATTGCGCCGCCGCTTGCGACATTCTGTGGACATTTTGCTTTTCAATCCACCATACGTCCCGACTAACTCGGCCGAGGCGGATGAAGCGCAGCAGGATGCCGATATCGCTGGTGCCTGGGCAGGGGGACAGGACGGCATGGCGATCACAGATATCCTGCTAGACCAGGTAGAGGTACGTCAGGCCGAGAACTTCGCCGTCTGCTTGACGTTCATGACACAAAACTTGCAGAGTCTGTTGTCACCACGAGGGCGGTTCTATTTGGTTGCCGTGAAGCAGAACGATATTCACGGTATCTGTCGCCGGATGCAAGAACAGCACAGTCTCAAGGGAGAGGTACTCCGTGTGCAGATTCACAAACATATACCTTACTAACCCTTCTTAACCCAGGTCGCTCTTCAACGTCGGGCAGGACGAGAGCATTTATATGTACTGAGATTCCTCCGACAGCCTGCTGATACATGACATTTACAAGCTACTATATACACAACATGGCATCACATCAATCAACTGATAGGCAGTGTCTTGCTTAGCCTTTCTTCCACATACGCAACCTTACAGCTTCAGGTCCGGGTTGGCGGGAATGGGACGTTCTGCCTGGGGCGTGATGCGTGCACCGTGGCGGCGTGCATCGGTCTTCTCAAAATCGAGGATCGCGGACTATCCACATCATCAGCAAGTCGTTGGACGTTAAATATGGACATGGCACATACGTGTGCGGTAATACGGTTGTCCCACAGGACGACGGTGTAAGGCTCCCACTTGACACGAGCCTGGTTGTCGATGCTCCTGTCGATGTGATCGTAGAGGAAGTTGAGGATGGCGTCTGAGGTCGTGTTGTGAGTACAGTGCAACAATATCCGCAGATTCATAAGCATACTAACCAGACTCTTCACGCTTGAGGCCGACAATCCGGCGGGTGAACTGACGGTTCACGTAGAGGGCCTCCTGACCGGTGACGGGGTGCCTCCGGACGATGGGGTGAGCATTCTCCACAGGCTCGCGACGAACAACACCTCCACGGCGACCGGAGCGAGAGTACGCCGCCTGCTCGAAGCCAGAGTGCGTCGCCTTGAGTGTTTTTAAGAACTCGACGAATTGGGGCGAAAGCCGACTGAGCGTGGACACCTGCGACGTAAAGGCGGTGTCGCCGCCAGAAGGCGGCTGCGAAAGCAGGAAGAACGTCGTGAGGCCAGGAGGCTGGAGTTCGTATGACACATCCGAGTGCCAAGTGGTAGACGTAATCCTGTCATCCAGCTCGAAGTTGTAGGTCGTATTCTGGTCGCGGTACACGAGGTGCAGCTCGGGCACGCCCTCGGGGTGGCCAGAGGTGGGGTGGATGTGAAGGCGGCCGAAGTACCTGCCCCACTCGCGATAGAACTCGGGACCGCGGTCGATGAAATCCTGCTGGTCGCGGAAGACCACGAGGCCGCGCCTAGCAACCTGTTTTGTTCGACGCAAGAAGAGAGCGACGAAGAAAAGGCACAATGAGCGAGTGGGTCCTTCCTGAGAAGGTTCCCAGATGAGATGTACTAACCTCGAGAGCCAGCTGATCGCGCCCATCATTATCAAGCTCTGCCAAGTTGACACCGCGAACTTCGCTACCTAAGCGGGGGGTGATCTCGATAACGCTTGTAGCGTTATCCAAGAACGACCGAGGGTTCGGGTGGTTCAGCGCACGGAAGCCCGGGTCGACGTGTTCGAAAGGAGTCAAAGGGGGGTAATGCTCGTCCTTGGGGAAGACGGGAAGCAGGTGGGCATACTTGTACTCTTCTTCCTTCTTGGGCTGCTCCGATTGGTCCTGACGCAGCGAGAGGGTCGGGAGCTTCTCAGTAATTGTCTCGACGGTCGACATGGCGATCAGTAAGAGTCAAGAGGCGATCCCAATTCGTTCTTAGTGAGAGGAACGGACAAGCTCTCCCTGGGCTCTGCGTCCCACCATATAAACCGCTCTATTTTCGTCATACACCAAGGTGAATGCGCAATCATCGCGCGTAGTGGGAGACATTCTTCCCCCTTGCTCCCACAAGATAACGTCGGCGGGCCGCAAGAGGGGTCACGATACGATTGCGGCATGAGGGCCTGTATTTATGGAGGTAAGACGTGCGCAAAGATTAGATTAGATTTGGTCGGCTTCTTATCTTGGCTGCCGTCGGCATCCCAGGCGTCCCCCCTCGGGGACATCGGTGCGTCTAGACGCCTGCAGGCGCCCTGGGTCGGGGCCTTGTGACCAAGCATGGAGAGGTCTATTGTGTCGGCTCTACCCGGAATTCCTCTCGGAACCGTCTCTCATGTACGTTCACAATAACATTGAACTTCGCCGCCTTCTCTGTACCTGATGCAATGACGCTGACAGACATCTCGGTTACGCAGGATATTCGACAAGCGGTCTGTAGGTGATGCTCAAGCGACATTGTGCTGGGGAATACCGCCCAAAAAGTTCGCTGAAACGGAAACGATGAAGAGTAACGAGTGACTGCCTCGTCCATCCATTACATCTTCGGTAAGCCATTGCCTTTAGCAGCACGGAGCATGGGCGCGCGCGGATCAGATTTACACTCCGCGGTCTTGTGTGCGATCATGATCTCACGTCTTATTGTTTTCCTACACCTCATCCGGACGTAGCGTACACCGAGATTGACACCTATCGGGCCATATCGTACGGTGGTCGCATCGCTTGGCCTGAGCGCACGACCAAGACAATTGGAACAAGCATGCGTTCATCCCTCGCAATCACCCTTCAAAAGGCCAGCGTGTCCGCAATGTAGACACCCCACCCTCACTTCCCGCTTTCACTTTGCGGAGACTTTGTAGTCCGGTACTGCCACCATGGAGGCGAAGGCCGTCAACCTTGCTATCACGCTCCCCCAGCTGCTTCGCAGGCGCAACTCGTCTCCCGATGTCCCCGAGGATGTCCTGACGGAACACTTTAACGATCCCAACTGGGACTTTTCGACGCCATCCGCGAGCGCAAGCACTACGAGCTTCGACGACAAGGGTCAGACTTGCTCATGGCCTGATACCTCCTACCGCTCTTCCGATATTGAGACGTCATCATACACATCTTCGTCGGCAAGCCCCACGAGACCATCGAAATTGGACCTCCGTGAAGCGACCCTGCATAATGTCAACGAGTATGTCCTTTTTCAGCAGCTGATCACAGAGCAGAGCTAATGTAAACTTCAGGGACTCGCCCTACGCTGAGGTCAGGGCTGCTGTCCCGAATTATGACGATCCATCCATGCCCGTAAATACCTTCCGAACGTGAGTTCCTAACTCAGCATCATCCTCTACGCAGGTCACTAAGTTGCCCACACAGCTGGTTTCTAGGCATCACCCTTTCCGTTATTCTTTCCGGCCTGAACCACTTCTTCACTTCGCGCTGTACGCTGCTCCATTTCTGTTGTCAACCTCTTGCTCACTCATTCACAGGGCCGTCTGTTGCTATCAGCGCACTCATCGCTCAACTTGTCGCGCTGCCAGCTGGCAAGTTCCTTGAATGGGCCCTCCCCACCACAAAATTCAAGACGCTCGGCTTCACATGGTCGCTGAATCCTGGTCCTTTCAACGTGAAGGAGCACACCGTCATTACCGTCATGGCCAATGCCGTCTACTCGGACACGTATGCGACTACCATCTTCTCGGCGCAGCGCGTCTTCTACAATCAGAACCCGCCTGTCGGCTACCAGCTCCTGCTCTCGCTCTCCTCCCAGATGATTGGGTACGCGTGGGCGGGCATTGCGCGCCAGCTCCTTATCTGGCCCGCGAGCATGATCTGGCCGTCGTCGCTTGTCTCCTGTGCGCTGCTCAACACTCTTAATCGCAACTGGGGCAAGAAGGAGACGAAGCACATCTCCCGCGAGAAGTTTTTCCTTCTCGTCGCCGTTGGTGGCACGCTGTGGTACTTCGTACCTGGCTACCTCTTCACAGGCCTCAGCGTCTTCAGCTGGGCGTGCTGGATCGCTCCCCAGAACCAGACCGTCAACACGCTGTTCGGCTACAACACGGGTCTCGGGTTGGGCTTCCTCACGTTTGACTGGTCGATGATTTCTTGGCTTGGAAGCCCGCTGGTCTCTCCAGTACGTCTCTTGCAGTTTTCCCGATACGCTCGACACTCATCGATTGCTTGTAGTGGTGGACTGAAGTCAACATCTTTGCCACTTTTGTGATCATCTACTGGGTGATCGCGCCCATCATGTACTGTAAGTCCCGCGGTCTGCCTGAGTAGACGCAAATACTCACAGTGATACTCAGTCAAGAATGCCCTGTTCACGGCTTATTTGCCTGTGTCTGCCTCGACTGCGTTCGACAACACGGGTCTGCCGTACAACATCTCTGCGATCATCACACCCGAAGGCCTGTTCGACGAGGACCTGTACAAGGCTTACTCTCCTCTTTACATGTCTGTCACCCTGCAGCTTGCGTACGGCACGCAGTTCGCTGTCATCACCGCGGTCGTCGTTCACACTTTCCGTAAGTAACCACACCCGCTCTTGCTGTGACAACCTGTCTGATTTTATTGTATCAGTCTGGTACAGGTACGACATCATGCGCCAATTCCGTCGTTCTATCAAGGACGAACAGGACGTTCATGCCCGCATGATGAGCGCGTACAAGGAAGTCCCTACCTGGTGGTACGGTGCTATCTTTATAGTTGCCTTCGTTTTCGGTGTCGTCGCCATCGAGATTTTCCCTACGCAATTTCCCGTATGGGCCCTCATTCTCGCACTCGCCATTGGCTTCGTCTTCGTCATCCCCATCGGCATCATCCGCGCTGTGACGAACCAACTTCCCGCGCTGAATGTCCTCGCTGAGGTTGTCGCTGGTTATGCGCTCCCTGGCCGTCCCGTCGGCGCTATGGTGTTCAAGACGTTTGGCTTCGTTCCAACTTACCAGACGATGTTCTTCCTCAACGATCTCAAGATCGGCCATTACCAGAAGATCCCGCCCCGCGTCATGTTCATGGCACAGGTCGTCGCTTCCACGCTCGCCGTATTCGTCTGCGTTGGTGTTCAGGAGTGGCAATTCTCGAACATCGCGGACTTCTGCATGCCCGATCAGAAGGATGGCTTCATCTGCAACGACATCTCGACCTTCGCCACCGCTGCGATCATCTGGGGTGGCATTGGCCCGCGCCGTCTCTTCTCCCCTGGCGCGATGTACAACTGGGTGCTCTACTTCTTCCTCATCGGCGCGCTCCTCCCAATCCCCTTCTACTTCCTCGCCCGCCGCTACCCAACGTCTTTCTGGCGTTACGTCAACATCCCCGTCTGCTTCGCGGGCCTTGCACAGCTCCCGCCCGCGACCGGAATCAACTACTCATCGTGGGCGATGGTTGGGTGCTTCTTCCAGTGGTTCATCCGTCGCTATCACTTCCGCTGGTGGCTGCGGTTCAACTACATTCTGTCCGCCGGCCTCGATATCGGCGTCTCGGTCGGCATGGTGCTTGTGTTCTTCATCCTCCAGTACCCTAAGGGTGGCTTCAGCCTTAATTGGTGGGGCAACACGGTTTGGCAGACCACGTTCGATGCAATGGGCACGCCTCGTCTCTTCCCCAACGGCACCTTCGGCCCTACGGAATGGGCGTAGAGTCCTCGCTTCTCCATTGTCCTCCTGGGTTCCAAGCTTTTTAGAGTCGTCCGGCCTCCATTCATATATCTTCACCCCCCTCCTTCTGGTATGGTGCTTGTAGCATTACGTTTAAGGCTCGGAAAGGTTACCCCGCGCGTCGATAGGGCGTCCCCCACGTTGCAGTATTTTTATGTACATCTACACATTCTGGCCCCCACCTCACTTCACCTCCCTCATCCCTGAGCTCTCCTCGCCGCATATGCACGGTCTGTCTTCATAGCATCACGAACTCTTTACGTCTCAGCGCTACCCCTTGGTCCAATTTGTCATCTTCATGCTTCCATGGTCGCATGTACTCCGCTTCATTCCTTCATCTTCGCCACGTACAGGTCATACGCACACCCCTTTGTATCTTGTCACGCCTCATGATTGTGTACTACTATCGGAATGAGATTCACGTTTGTTACGCCTCGGAAATTTTAGTATTGAGTGATACTGGTGTTCACGAACGGACGCTGTCGATCGAACTGAAACAACGGATGGGTTAAATGATGATATTGGACTAAGGCTAGACAAGACTATATACAAGGAAGTAGAGGGACAAAAACTAAGACTAGGATGGAGTGTCATGGCGTAGATGGATTACCGTCCGGGACGCGGTCAAACAATATCATAGATCGTAGTCGTGTGCTCAGTTCGTGCATTTCAATCGTCCCGATCAGCGGCGCGCCGCCTGCCACTTAATGAGAATCGTGAAGGAGACACTGCGGGGGCCTTCTCGTCGTAGAGAGAGTGGAGAGATTTGCGAGAGGCGCGGTTGGAGAGCGGCGTGTCCGCGTCGTACTCAAGTCGCAGTTGCAGATGACCCTGGCCTTCGCGCAGCTCCACTGAGAGGTCGGAGGCTGGGACGACGTCGCCTGGTTTCAAGTGTTGCCAGATCTGTGTCACGAACTGCACGTTAGCCTGGAGTCTTCTTACACATTGAGAGCAGGGGCCTCACGTCAATCTCGGCGGAACCAAGCAGCTTGTCCTTTCCAAGCGTTTTGTGGTCGTACACCCACGCAAAGAGTTTGGGCTGCGTGTTGGGCGCGGCGGAGAAGGCGAACGACTCGTTCCTTTAGGAGCAATCTCATAAGTAAAGGGCTCCGACGGCAGAACTAAACGAATACGCACCATTCCGGAGTAGAAGTCTTGCTACTGTGCTTCGTCTTCTGCTCCTTATCACCGACACGCAAGACAACATAAGGCTTAATCTCGGCAGTGGAAAGGTCCTTGGCGTCCTTGACAACAACCCGGAGGGTGCCTGGTTCTTGGTTCTGACCATGGCCGTTCGCTGCCGCTGCTGCAGGGAAAGCTGCCGCCGATGCACCAGGGTCTGCGTAGTCAACAGGCTTCGACACGACTCCAGCAGGTAGTTCGGAAACCTCGTTTGACGAGCCCGAGCTCTGGCTGTTTCGTCGCTTGAAAACGCCAGTGACGCCGTGAATCACACCCTTGCCAGCACCCGTGGGGATATGGCCGATCTGTGTCAGGGCACGACCCGCGGTGGAGAACGTAGAGGTGTTCTTGCGTGCCTTCGCGATGATTTCCGGTGTGAACAGCAGACGCAGGCGAACCTCGCCCTTGTCGCCATGCTTCGCAGATGAAAGCGATACGGTTCGCTCGACAGCAGTGAACGGCTCGAGGCTCGCCAGGTCAATCTCGCATGATCCCAGGCTCTTCGCTTGTTCGATTTGGTTCCAATCGAACACCTCCAGCAAGAAGTTTGAGCCTGTGCGCGATGGCTGGAGAACCAGTATGAGCTTCCGATTCCTATCCTGCCGAGGATATCCAGCATGTATACACTCACCACTTGCACAGTAAAGCTCTCGTTCCACTCAGGATTCAGTGTCTTCTTCTTAGTCTGCGACTTGTAGACGCGCTGGCCGTTGAGGTGGAAGACGACGAAGGGGTCAGACTTGCCACCACGATCAACACCGTGGATACCGTGGCCGTCCAGGAGCTCGACCCGAACGTTGCCCTGATCTACAGGCTATGAGCAGGGAGAATAGAACAGGATCACAAACAACTTACTGTTAACACTTTCCCTAGGCTCTAGCTTGATGGGCACAGGCAAGTACCTCGCCTCGATCGTAACGACAGACCGCTTGTCCTCATCGTCAGGGTGCAAGAGCGTGAACTCGGTGGGGCCATCCTAAGCAATCGTCAGCACTCTTACGCACTCATACCACCACGAAGGCACAATCAGCGTACCAAGGTCTTTTCCAAGAACGCCTTCGTGTCACCCTTCCACTGGGCGATGACGTCGTCCTTGTCACCCTCGTCGGCGTCGTTGAGACGCAGCCAAACGCGGCTGAAGTCGAGCTCCTTGACGACACCCTCTCCGATATATTCCCACTGGGCGTTGGTGCTGCGCGCGCGGACGGTGCTGAAGGCCGGCCAGTAAGCATCGTCGAGCAAAACCTCGAGCCGCGCCTTCTTGTGCAGATGTCCGCGGACCACGTTGAAGATGACAACGCCCGCCTCTGTATGGGTTGATGACAGACGTCACTTAGTCTCTTCGCCTGGATGCAAGACAGGAAGTGGTACGCACGGTGCTGGAGCAGCTCCGCCTTGCTCATTTCAATACCCTGCTGCTCCGGACGCTTCTCGTCCTCCACAGCCGTGGCCCCCGCAGACGATGTGGCACCGACAGAGTTCGTCTCGTTATTGCCAGGGGCAGCGCCGTTGGTTTGCGCATCCGCGTCGACAGGCGCGCTGGCGGTGACGCCGGCGCCAGCAATCTCGGGATCAATCTCCTCGTCCTCCTCCGCGTCGCCTACCACGGTGCCTCCCATAGAGCTGTCGGGAGAGCCTGCCTTCGTCCGTTCTGCGGCTTGTTCGAGCTCGGTAGGTCCGGACTCGAAGTGAATGCCGCGGACGGCGTAGGCGGGGACGAATTCAGCGGTGTAGACGAGTTTGCCCTTGAACGAGTTGTTGCCGATCTTGATCGCGTCCTCCGCCTCCTTGACACCAGTGGACTCGTACAGGAACTCGCCGCTGCCGCCTTCAATTGGCTTAGCGAGGTCGGAAACCTTGAGCTCGGTATACCCGAGGGAACGATCCTGGTTTGGAGACATCGAATTCCCACGTGCAATACCACACAAGTCAGGTGTGGTGGCTCACCTTCGTGAGGTGCTGGTAGTCCATGCATTCGAGCAGCATAGTCTGGGAACGCGGGTCAGAACCTACACTAGCACGTCCACACTCTGACACAAACGCACTTCTTTCAGGGAATGCACTAAATCGGGATGCATTGCGTCAGCGTTTGTATATAGAAGGCAACGTCTCTGTGCGCAGAGCATACATACCAGGAATGTAGATGATCTGGTCCCACTCCGGGTTCAAGTCTATGAAGTCACGCGTCGTCAAAAGCCCGTTACTTGCGCATCTCGGGACCGGCACTCACTGTTATTGACTACTTCCGTCCGTCCTTGAGTGACGTTGTTGATTTGCACGCGCACGTACGGATCGCTCTATATAACGTCCCCGCAAGCCCGTCAGCCATGGTTCGTTCTCCCCCACAGAGCTCGGTACACACCTTGCCACCAAGCGCCGCTTCGACGTTCCTGTTGATAAAATGCGCGGTGAGCACCTGCCATTCCTCCGCTGCGACAACACAATCCCACATACTTGACGTCCCTCGCGCGCTGGAGCCAAAGGCGCACCACGCCGATCGGCGGCACGTACTGGTCCGCGCCGTGCAGGCTGCCCGCCATGTTAAGCGGCTTCCACTCCGCGCTGAGCCTGATCTTCCCGCTGCGCGCCCGGCTGAGCGGCCACCAGTCCTTCCCGGTCTGCTTCGCGGCGAGCAGGTCGGTGAGCCGGATGGACATGTACCCGACGACGGGGTCCTTGAGGAAGTCGCGGTCGTCGATGACCTTGGCGATGATCACGCTCGACGCCTTGTCCGTGCAGAGGAACTCGGTGCTGTCCTCCCAGACGGGGTTGTTCGTGTGCTTGACCTTGCGCGTCACGTGAATCGGGTGGTTGGGTGCCGATGCTGTGTACAGCTTCACGAAGGGGTTGAGTTCGCCAGTCATGGACTTGTTCGAGTCGAGGTCTTTGGCCTGGTGCACGGTGAGACGGACAATTCCAACCTCTGACAAGTGCAGAGCCTAGTCAGTGTCACGTCCGATGTCACTGTAATCGGACTTACTCGTGTCCGGGAGGGTCTCAATACCGCCAGCGTCCTTCTCAGGTTTGAGCACAGGGTAGAAGTTGACATCAAACCTGATAGTACCGCGCTCCTTGCCTTCCTTGAGGATCTGCAGCTCGATATTCTCCTGGGTGGCATCCTGCTCCAGCGCCTGCAGGTCGAACGTCGCAAATCCGAGGTCCGTGTTCGCACGATGGTCGTTGTAATCCAACACCCGTAACATCAGGTTCTCCGTGAGTGAATTGACCAGCAAGAACTTGGTCTCCATCCACGTCGGGTTCACCCTGTGCACGTGCAGGGCGTTAGTGCGAGCGCCCAGAAGACGAGATCAAACCGCATGACGTATGCGGAGAAACATGGAGGGCGGAATGACGTACGTGTTAGCCTTCCACTTAGTCTTTGCGAGCTCGGCGCGCTCGTTGATGCTCAGACTGACGAAGGGGTCGGGACGACCTCCGCCGAGCTTCGAGCCCTTCAGGTCGCGCGCACCTTGGACGGTGACTTGGAGCACACCAATGGCCGTGTCGATGGGCTCGCCCGAGAGCATCTGCTCGAGGTTGAGCGTGAAGACGTTGGGGTCGTACATCATAGGGCCAAGAATACTGTGGACTGTGTCACGAATGAACGCTGACAAGCCGGGGATCTAGGCAGCACTCATCATTTAGCAAGAATAAGCGCGAGAGTCGACGGAACGTACGTTGTTGACGTCGAAACCGAACGTTTCACCACCGAGCGGCTTCAACGCATAGTCAAAGTAGGGCTTCTCCATGAAAGACAGGTCGACCAGCTGCACATGCGGGAAGTTGGTCATCAACTTCATGCGGACCTTCAAGTGTCCGGAAAACGTCATGTCCTCGAGGAGGACCGGCATCGCCGCGCTCGCAAAGCCCTTTCCGAGGCGAACGCTCAAGATGACCTTCGGGTTGACCCTCGACAACTTCTGCTTCTTGGTCATCTCGGAAGTGTCATTCGGAGTGAACGAGAACCACCATTCCATGAGGACGACGTCGTCCTCCGTGCGCGGGAACGTCTTCACCTTGTCCACGCGTGGCGCCTTCGTGCCGAGCGTGAAGGTGCTCATACGCAGCGACTCGAGGAACGGAGGGCAGTTCTGCGAAAGGACCTGGTCGACGGACGCGACGATAGTACGGGATAAGACGGGTTCGTAGATCAACCAGAAACGCGCTAGGAAGCTGTTCATCCACTCCGCGGATTCGACCTCGTCCTCTGCACTGAAGCGCGTCTTCACGAGTTCGCGCTGAATGTCATCGCGCGCCGCCCGCCGCGTGCGGGTCATAGACGTCGAGTAGTAAGTGTTGCAGAACGCTAGGATGATGAGCACCCAGCCCATGCCGAAGTTGAAGCGCGTCAGGAAATGTGTCACGAGCACGGCCTGCAAGGCGTGAGTGCGCAGCTGTCATGCCCCTGAATGGAATACTCACTACAACGATCAGTGCAGCGTTGTGATACCATTCTCCATAGAACTGCTCGCTGATGAACAGGTTGAGAATTTCCTTGTCCTTGGCGTCGCCTTCCGCTGCCGGAGCAATGTCGATGCCGGATACGTCCCGCCACCCCACCTTGTACCAGTCAGGTATCTCGGGCGCAGGTCTGGCAGGCATAGCCCCTGGTACCTGGGTCTCGGGACCAGTTGGTGACGTTGGGCTGACAGGCCAGGTAGGCGATACAGGTTGGTCCGGACGTTTCTCGTTCGCTTTCTCGGTATTCACGGGCTGCGGCGTGGGCTTCTTGTCGCGACCACCCTTGTCCACATCCTCGACTGTGATAGTGGGAAGCACGCTACCCCCATTGCCCGTGTCGACCGATATCTCTGCGGCGCAGCGAATAGCGATGAATACAGCGCCAGGCTCGACGGGGGAAAGCGAATGCGGGCGGATATCCGAGGCGAGCGAGACATACCTTGGGCATCGGTCTTGACATCGTTGTTCTCGAGGCCTAGTTTCTGCTTGTTCTTGTTCGCCGCGGCAGCCTTCTCTTGCGGAGGCGCATCCGGGTCGAAGTTGTATACGGGGACACCCTTGGCGGCGTCTTGCTCGACGATGCCGTTAACCTTGGCCTGGGCGTTTGGAGGGATGGGAGTACCGTCGACAGTAGCCATGGAGGAACGACGGGAGAAAGGAGAGAGGAGGGTGGGTGGAGACGAGACACGAGAGAGGAATAGGATGTCGGGGTATGGTGGAAAGAGCGTGAAGGGGTCAGGTGTGTTGGGTGAGGCTGTAGATGAATGACCGCTGCCTGGTACCTCGATGACGTTCGGCCACCGCACGCGCCCTGCGTTCCCCGGTCACTCCGAGTCCGCAGCGGGGTTCACAATAGACTGGACCTCGACCACAACGGCCGTCGTCGTGTAGGGAATGGAATAAACGGGCGTGGAGGTCGACAAGAGAGGGTTGTGAGCTGTCTGTTGTCAGTACTTCTGTCTAACGACTTGCAACTGCATCCGGATCGCTTGAGCCTCAACTCGAACGATGGGCTCGGGGTGCTTTCGGGGTCCGCGCGTGCGCGAGAACGCGACGGGAACTGGCCACGTGAGGGCGCACACCACCAGCGTCATATCCCCCGAGTGGAAATCATGTCTGTTCGACATTCCCCACCACCACGCCGTTTGAGGCATCTCCACACAATTGCAGGACGAATCACCAAGGTCCCCTATCGCTGCAACCAGTCGCGCGCAGGAATCCATTTCGCGAATACTCGGGACGACGCACACTCTGGGGTCCTGGAGCCCAAAATAACTGTCGAAGTCTGAGGCTGCGCAGGAAGACCACCCAGGTCTGCGTGCATATTGCGCTGGTCAAGCCCATTCTGACGGGAACAAGTCATAAAGGTATTGGTGGTTGGGAGCCGAAGCATCCTGCTCTTCTGCATCTTGAGTAGCCCGTGTCCAGGCGTAGTTTCTTCTGCACGCCACCACTGCGCGAATTCGCCTTCTTCGAAACTTGCATGTTTCTGTGCCCTAATCGCGGGCTGCTATGATTAGGTCCCCACTATGGACTCTGCTTGCCCATGATATCGGTATGCAGTCCTATCTGTGTTGAGGTGTATTGATGAGCACGTATCCAGCTGGACTTGTCAAGGACAGTCGTTCCACGCTGTTTTGAGTTGGCGTCCATCATGTATGGAAGAGCGGTTTTTACGTGCCCCCGAGCCCTGGTGCCGACCGACAGCTCTGACTTTCGGAATGGTCACAGACTGCACATCGGTCTTCCTACCGACGCCTCTTGCTCGCTTCTAGCGTCGGTCGTAGTCCGCGCCGAACAACTTCGTTGTCTAACAGCAGTGTTTCTTCCTTCTCATCGGGAGAAAGGAATGTTTCTTGTCAAAGTGGCACCATTGGACGCGTGGAATGAGAAGAGGACGTCAGCTGTAACACAGCTCGACGGCGAAGTTACACGCCGATAGGTGGAACTTATCGATATGTATAAGTACATACAGTCGACACCCTCCTAACCCATACCCCTGGTAACCCATAAACTCCCGAAACCCATAGGATTTTGGCTTTCCCAAGTCGGGGAAGGGGGAACTCGACCCCATAACCCATAGGCCCCTGGTACCCAATAACCCATAGCTTTCTAGGGCCCAAAACCCATACGGTAATAGGGCTCACGTTGAGATTTTGCTCATCGATAACCTTCGTAATACTTGATTCATGCTTCCTAGCGTCCTCCCAGTTTCCACCCTTGCTTCGACCACGTTATGGGTAGGTGAGTCTGTTCGAAATCCCATAGCGCTCCCTCAAAGGGTCAGTAGACGCCTGTTCAGCGCTCGCTAATTGGGACTTATCAGGGCGCTTAGAAGGCGCTAAAGTTCTGGTAGCCCATAACCCCTCAAAACCCATATATTTGGGCCTGTCCCGAGGGCTATGGGTTAAGAGGGTGTCGACTGTATAGCCCCGGACGTTCCGAGATGCGCTGCAAACTTCCGTAAAGGGAAAAGCGTCGGCACGAGTCACTTGCCCCACATTTTCGAGCTGCTCAGAGCGCGCGCGTACGTCCGAGTCGACGGTGAATACATTCCAGGTTGCCCAGCTCCCACTCGCCCCGCTCGCGAGTCCTCTGCGGATCCATGAACCTACTCTCGCGCCGGCTCTACAATGGCGGCTTCAACCATCTCAAGAGCACTACCCACCTTCTCCGCAAAGCTCCCCGCGTCGTCTCTCCTTCCCTGGGTGCCGCGAGGCTCTGTTCTGCCAGAGTCGGCAGCTTGGCTGGCGACAGTGACTCTGTACGTGCTCCGTCACACTCTGCCAACTTTTCTATTATTGTATGATGCCGTCTTTTATTAAAACGAAGCGCGGAGTTCAATCAGCTCTTTTGGGGTACCCAGGCTCCCTCTCCTCGTGCAGCTTGCACCACTTCCTGGCCGCCAACTCCATGCTACATCCTGATGAAAGCCGGTTGAAAGCGAGCCTCTTGTTATGGACAACAAAAGGCTTAGACTCCATCTGGGTATGCAAGTGCCGCACCCCCTTACTCCCTTCCTAGACGTGACAGAGGTACAGCTCCTATCTCGCATTTCAATCGCGCCTCCTCTCGCATCCTTGCTCTCGTTGCATCCAAATCAGGATCGTAGATTATACGCGAGAAGTGAATGCGCCTCATCGACGCTTACTGAGTCACGCGCGCGATCATGCTCCATGACCATGAGATGAAGCATCATTACCACTATCTGTAACCACCCGTGCATAGATCGGGTCTTCGGAATAGATCGGAATGCATAGACATCCCATGCTCTTACTCCACGCCATCCTGTCGCCATAACTGCAGGGGATTGCCTCCTCCATTCCTTTCCCTTCCAGCCGTTCCCCGCGCGCGAGACTGACCTATGTCCGCACACGCGTGGGTGCTGTCTTCCCGCACCCTAGAAAAGCCCGGCAAGCGCGATAGAGGATGAGCACCGACCCGCCCAGAACCCCAAGCAGCAGCCCAAGGACACGCACATGTCCGCGTACAAGGATTTCGAGAAGCCCAACGAGGCCTACGTCGCCAACTTCGGCGACAAGGGCAACTTGCCCCTCCCGCCTTCCAAGAAGCTCCTGATCGGTACGTCCGTTCATATCCGTCCATCCGCGAGAGCCTAGGTATCTAACATGCGCACGCACCGCACCAGTCACCTGTATGGACGCACGTATCAAGTGAGGCCTCTTCGACCTGACTTCACGATGGCACGCGGAGCTGACCGCGTTCTGGCAGCGTGTACGCTGAGCTCGGCATCCAGGAGGGCGAGGCCCACATCGTCCGCAACGCCGGCGGCTCTGCGTAAGTTCGCCGTCCCTCCACCACCCTCCCAAGATGCGCGCTGACCCCGCCTGATCCCGGTTTACAGGAAAGAAGCCCTCCGGTCGATCATCATCTCGCAGCGCCTCCTCGGCACGCGCGAGATCGCCGTCTTCCACCACACCGGCTGCGGGATGCTCACGTTCAGCACGCCGCAGCTGCGCGCGCTCGTGAAGGAGTCCGACCCCGCCAACGACGCGCTCAAGGCGGTCGACGCCATCGACTTCCTCGAGTTCCAGGGCCTCGAGGAGAGCGTGAAGGTGGACGTGAAGTTCCTCGAGGAGAACCCGCTCGTCCTGCCAGGCACGAAGATCACGGGGTGGGTGTATGAGGTCGAGACGGGCAAGGTGCGTTCTTGGTTTGGGATGCGGCGCCTTGGGGCGTATGGCGTGATAGTGGGGACGGCTTTCGAGTGCGAGGTCTATGACATCGACAGCCTCGACAGGGCTTGAGAACATATCTTGCTATCGGGCACAGGGAAATTCCGGCGCGGTGCTGACCTCGTGTTCCATCACAGATAAGACAAGTAGTCTAAATCATCATGCGCCTCTCGGCGGAAACGATGGACATTCGATCAAGCGTGGGTGCGAGAACTTACAGCAGTGTGCAATTCGTGGCGTTTTTGGCATTATCGTAGTTGATCACAATGAATCTAGTCTCGGTGCAAGCCGTTGTTCTTGAATGCGTGAACAGTTGATCGCATTGTCCCAAATAGCTCAGGTATCACAGTCTGAACAGTACGGGTCAAAGAGTTTCCTTGTTATTAACTTTGCTTGTACAGTAAGGCAGGAACCCAGTGGACACGGGCTTTTCTCTTTTCTGTTATCCCGACTGACATCGGTCTCCCAGACACCTCCACAAACAACCTGGCGTACATCACCGCCTCCACCCGTCCAGCCCTGCTGCAGTCCCCAACCAGCCATCGACCCCGGCCGAAGGCCCAAGGGCTGATTGGAGACGTGCGCACGACTTGGACATAACCTCGGTACCAGATCCCAAACCAATGGGACTGGCGAGCGGCCACGGCTAGCGTACTGCGCAAAGCGACCACGAGCTACGAGCTAGCGTCAGCCATCCGGGTCGCTGGAACGGGATAGCGAGGAGGGTGCTCACCGAATGCACCCCTCTAGGCGCTGCCGCGACGTCTCGCGGCATTCAGGCTTGATGCCCGGAGGGATGAACACTGTTGCTCGAGGACACCATGGACGCTTCTTCATGCCGTCCTAGCAAGTTGCTGAGGACGTGCATATGTGGCGTCGTACGCGCCGTTTAGTTGCCGAATTGGCCCTCTGCAGCTGCGGTCAGCTCACTAGCCTGACACGACCGGACGCGAAGCAATCCATGCCTCACCTGAATGTCCCTCCCCCAGGAAAGTCAACATCTCGAGGGCGTGTAGGCGAGGTGATCCGTTCTAGCCGATCAGGAGTCGGCGGCGAATATTCCGGAGCAGGTTGTCGTTATTAAGGAGGTGAAAGCGAGTTCGAAGGCGGGCGGGGACCGCCGGGCACGAATGCCCCGTCCCCGGTTCAATATTGAGTCGGGAGGACGAGTCGGATGAAACAGGAACAGAGGCATCGGAGACTATGGTGGATGTTGCTGAGACTGAGAGATTGCCAGGCAGAAGAAGAGATTTGCTGCGTTCATATATGACTGCGAGTGATCGATGCCGAGACGGTATGCTTTGTGGAGAGGCTCGATGGTGGTGGTTCGTGATGAGGAGTGCTGGCCGTCTTGCACTACCCTTTATACCCCTGCGCATGGTGGCTGGCGAACCGCTGTTCGGTTCGGGACGAATGTCAACCACCATTCCGATCACCGGCAGACTCTGAGATGCCGGACATTTCTTCACGGGAGGCTGGGCTAGTCGCGTGCATTATGCCTTCACAGGAAGGTGATATGGTTGGGTTTCTTGCGATCGCAGCCACAACAGCAGACAAGCGAGGTAGATTGGTTGAATATTGTGCCACACCCTGCATCTGTTGCCCGGCCGGGGCTGGTATAGACTGGCGAACCTCTCGATTGTCACCTTTGCAGGCTCACAAACCAGTGTTGGGTGTGACGATCGCCGGTGTCTGGGACCACACGGTCGGGAGGCTTATACCGCTGCATTCGCTCATTGAGAGGAGTACGAATGGTTGTTGAACTCGCAGACAAAGATCATTCACACATAACTCGCATTGCGACCATCCAGTATAGTGTTCTCTGTATATTGGGGTACAACGGTACAACGACATATCCCATGCTTCTGGATAAATCCCCATCCTCCCTGTTGCGAGTTTCCAACAGGATTCTTGGCGTAGTAACTGCAGGATTGCGGAAGGTCCTCGAAGGATGGGATCGAGGAGCGTCCACAACCATCGGTGTGACCATGATGCCCTCCCATCGGAGGGGAACTAGCCATGTCTTGTCCAAGGAACTGTACAACGGAGCCTCAGATACTACTTCTCGCAGGTGTGCGTATCATCGGCTTACCGAGTATTTCGAGGGAGAGAAGAAGCAGTCGCCATCGTCTCCGTAGGCCGAAGGGGCTGAATGGACAAGGAGGAGCCACCACCCAAGTCCGTCAGCCCCACCTGACATACAACCCCAAGACTCCGTGGCACAAGGAGTGTTAGAGTACATATGCCAGGGACCATGGAGAACGATTTGGTCGGCGACTGCATTATTTTCCGCGAGCAGTGGACCAGTGGGAAAACTGCCTTTGAATCATCAAGGGAGTCAGGTTGAGGCAAAGGGACAAGGATATAAACCTTTGCTCACCGAATGGATATCCTTAGCCGTCACTCATGAGAAGTTTGGGCAGTCAGAATGCCCGGATGCGGCGACATTCTCGACGCGGGGCGGGAGTGACTGGACAACTCTCCTTGCCGATGGACCCATGAGTAGTAGAAGGGATGAGGCCCGATGAGGTCCAACGTTTGCGCGTACGGCGATCGAGGGGCGACATCCCAACCCACAGACGAAGTCGAGATAATGAGGATAACCATCGGAGGTGCGGAGAAGATGGCGGTCGGGGGGTGAGGAGTTGCGGTGCTGTGCGGGTTCTTATACCATTGGCAGGGCTGGCTGACAGATGTGATGCCGGGCTGACCTTCACGAAGTTTGGGTCGTCAGCCGCGTGAAGATGATTGTAGTCGACGTTCGTTAGCGCGTACGAGGCAAGTGGTGGTCCAAACACTACCAATCGTCTCCCTGGATCGCATACTCGCAAATCCATGTGATTTCTCATCGATGGCATGTAGGCCGACAATCATGCCGCCGCTTATTACAGTATCAGCTAAGGTCACTGCGTAAGACGCTACGAACGGTGTCCGCCCATGCACCCTCAAGTTCGACGTAGTCGCACAGTCACTGCTATGGAGACAGACTCCAAATGCGGTTTGGCTGAGTATATGCATCATCTTCCAAAGAGAAGAATGTAGAGGGCCGAAGGGATATGAGGGGTGCCATGTCGACACCGGTGGCCCGAGATGAAGGAAGCCGGGTAGGCGTCGTGATGAGTTAGTAATTGCAGGGCGCTTCAGTTCCCCAACTTGAACTCGTCATTGATCATCAATCCCATTCCGCCGTACCATGTTCTTCCACTGTCGGATGATGATTCACGGCAATTCTGAAGTGTCACATTCTTTTGAATACGAGTCAAATGGTGTTTTCCAAGATCTCATTCTTCTACAGCAAGAACACAGCGGGCTCCCTCGCTGTTCGGGTCCTTTCTTCTCTCGTTATCCCCCACTGACATCGAGCTCCCAGACACCTCCACGAACAAGGACATCGCCGCGATGAATCGTCAGGAACTTGCTACAGGATGAACTTCGGACTCCGACCGCAAAGGCCAGAGGGTTGGTTGGAGCGGAACCTAGGTGTATCTTTGGACCCCTGTCCGCTTCTTTCGGGTTAAGGGATGGCCTCAGCTGGCGTACTCTGCAAAGCGACTCCAAGCTGCGACCAGGTGTCAGGCGAGTTCCGGTACAGAGAGGAGAGGGAGAAATTCACCTAACGAGCTCTCCTACGTGCTGCCCCAACGTCTCGCGGCTCAGGCTCGCCGGCCCTATGCCTCGGTGCCCTGAGGTATGCCTTGCTCTAGGATGCCGAGGATTCTTCGTGATAACCCCGCAAATTGCGGAGGGTACACATATATGGCGTCGTGTATGCCGTTTCCCCCGCTGAACAGACGCTCTGCAACCAGGCGAACTACGGTCAATACATTTTGAGCGGGACACGAAGCAATGAAGTCCTCACCTAAGGTTCCAGCGTACGGCCTAACGCTCGGTGAACAGGGCTCGACCGTGGGTATGTGAGATGATCGTTCCAATGACTTGAAGCGGGTGACGGGCATCGAGGGTAGCGTCGCGGGAGGGAGGTTGTTGTGTGGAAGAAGATGAAGGCGAGGTCGAGAGCGGGCGGGGATAGGCGTCCGTAGCGGGAATTACCGACACGAACGCCTGCCCCCCAAGGCACGTCGAAGCAGGAGGACGATTTGCGTGGAGTGGATGGAGTGGGATTAGAGACATTGAAGGTGATGGCTAAGGCCTAGGTCCAAGAGAGGCCTGTCGGTGGTCGATTGGGCGGGTAACGCAGTTGGCTGGGAGACTCGGAGATGATGGTGATAACGTAGAGAATCGGTCGCTCTGTACTGCTCTTTATACCTTTGCTCAGGGAGGCTGGCTGCCCGCTTTTCGGCTCATTGTGAATGCCAACCGCCACTTGAGGAATTGATATGTCGCTGATCGTGTGCTCAACATGGCTTCACCGAGCCTAGGCTCTGAGATGCAAGACATGTCTTCACAAGCGGCTGGTTGAATGACTGGCGGTGTGACCGGCAGGAATTCTTGCTCGCCTCGTCGTCGAAGAAGCGAGATAGACTGGCTTTGTCAGCCTCCTGAAGTTGGTTCTAGACCGGCACGCAGAGGCAATAACAAGGCTTGTCTGTGATCGTCTCCCTCCCATGTCTTCGAGAGCCGAGGTGTGCAAGAACCGTGTCCGTAACATATGAGTGAGATAGCATATAATGCAGAACGAACGAGGACGAACCTGTGACCGACGATCGCTCCATGCATCTACGGAGGATCAGTCCACCTCGCACAGTAATTCTCAGACATAGCAGCTGAGACTCTAGGATAGATTGTTCGTAAGTAAAAATGCATCCGAATGCGAGTGCTACAGGTAGGCGTGAGGAGAGGAAGGAGCGCAACGAGACGCGTCAAGGTCGCGACGAACAACGCGATGCACGTGCTCGCGTCGCCGGCCGCACCCTCCTTCCTCCTGTCCATCCTTGGTCTCTTTCGACTGTGATCTCACCGATCGGCCTTCGTTCGCCGTCGTCTCGCGATCTCCCATTTCATGCTATGGCAGCCACCTTGGAGCCCAAGGACGACCCCAAGAGTCATCTCACTGAATCTGGACATGCCACTCCGAGAACCGCCGCCCGTCCTGGAACCATCCTAGAGGACTTCAAGAACGACGGCAGGCCCGTCATCGCGATTGACATGGATGACGTTCTCTCGCAAACGAACGAGGTAGTTGCCGAATGTGAGTGCGGATGTCCAGGCTGAGTGGAATGCCCGAGATGGAGGGTCTGATGTCTGGCGGACTAGGGCACAACTCCGCATACGGAACCAGCATGACTCTGGATGACTTCTACTGTGAGTGCGGTACGTCTAGTGCGCGAACAGACCTTGAACGAATCCGCATGCGCCAGACTACTACTACTGGATGGTCTGTGTCAAGCCACCAGCTCTCTAGACAGGCTCCGCGCTGAACGTCGAACCCTCGACATGTACGCAGAACCCCTACTGGGGCGACCCGGACGAGACGATCCGCAAAGTCGAAGAATTCTGGAAGACAGACTACATCGACATCGCGCCTCCAGTCGCGGGCGCGTACGACGTCCTGCTGAAGCTCACCGAAAAGGGCTACCGGCTCGTCGTGGTGACCGCACGCCAGCTCCGTGAGCTCGATAGGAGCATCGTGTGGGTCGAGAAGAACCTCCCCGGCCTCATAGACACCTTCATCTGCACGGGGCAGTCGATGGAGACACTCGCGGACCAGAAGGAGCTGGCCACCAAGCTGTCGAAAGCGGACGTACGTTCTTCCTTCCCCCTCTCCGCCCCGCTTCTCTGCAACATGACTCGATCGACGGGCGCTGAAGCGACCGGACGAAACAGGTCTGCCGCAAGATCGGCGCGAAGTTCTTGATCGACGACTCGGTGGAGAACGCGCTGAAGTGCGTGGTCGCAGACCCGCCCGTGCCCGTGCTGCTGTTCGGCGATTATTCGTGGAACACCCGCGTAGGACGCTACAGCGATATCACGAAGGAGACGAGCTTCGAGGAGAAGCTGAAGCGCGAGGGCGGGCGCGAGTTTTGGAAGGAGGACAGTGCAGCTCTGGAGAAGGAGATCCCGCCTAGCGCGCCTTTGACGAGGGTGAAGGACTGGAAGGAGGTCCTCGAGTGGGTAGAGAAGAAGACAGCAGAGGGAAAACTGTAGAGCTATCCCGTATATTTGAACTACAACGTATGTACCGAGATTGCATGTATTGGTTTGTAGCATAGATGTGCGACGCCATGCAACCAGGGCGCTTGGCAGTCGATCACACGCGTCTCCGTCGACACACGTTTCCCCGCACCTCTCAGCCCTGCAGGGGCCCTATACTACACAATACCTTGAACCCTACTATCCACCTTGCACCGTTCAGCCACTCGCGTTCTTGCAACAATGTCTTCTGCTCAAATACGCACCTTGCTACAACCTCCAGACCTCAGCGAATCCGACGCACGCGCGCTCGCGTACCTGAACTCGACATACAAGTCCCTAGATGACCTCGAGCACGAATTCGACCTCGAAGCCGTAGTCGAGCAAGCTCGACAGCGGCTGGACGACCTCGACACAAAGGTGCGTATGATCTCTCTGCCCAACGCATGAACAAGTCTCACCGAACGCTCGCCGCAGCTCAGCTCGCGCAGTCCCAGACATCCCTAGACGATGTCATCGCGCGCACCCGCCAGAAGGCGACGGAGGACCTGCACACCGCGCAGGAGCTCGCGCTCCTGCGGCACTCGCTAGCGGACGAGCTGTCGTTCCTGTCTGGGGAGCTGGAGTCCGCGCTGTCCTCGAGCCCCGAGGGTGGGCCGACGCTGCTGGAGGACCTGGAGACGCTGCACCGGAGCTTGAAGGAGCTAGATAGCGTGAAGGGGTACGTGCAGGTGATTGAGCATGCTCTAAAGCTCAGGTGTGTATCGTTTGTGCTGCTTTCTCTTTCGCGCGACTGGAGGCTTAGCGGTGGGTCGGTGCACAGCGAGGCTGCGGTGGACCAGGTGCGCAACTCGGGCGTAGTGACCGTGTCCGAGTATGAGAGGCTGCAGGCGTTCGTGGCCTCTGTGGAGGCGGCGTGCTCGAAGGTCGAGGCCGTCGCGAGCCAGCCTGACCTCCACGTCCTCGCCTTTTTGGAGTCCGTCGTCGAGCAGACATGGAAGGACATCAAGGGTGTCCTCTCGACGTGAGTCCCCATGTCCGCACCCCGCACCCCAAGACCTCCCGCGAGTCTCATAATGGCATCGTGACAGGACACTGCTGGAGGCAGCGGAGAAGCTGAAGTGGCCGCTGAAGGTGGACTACGCCTCTGCCTCGCCGGAGGACCGCAGAGCGTTCGAGACTGCGTTCTACAACCTCCTCAAACTACAGACCACAGGTGAAAAAATACGTGACTCTTCAAAGCGCAAGGCTAGCGCGAAAGAGGGTCTCTATCCTATACAAGCTCTCGTTCGAGCTATTGCTCTGCGTTTCAAGTTCCACTTCGAGGGCAGCCGACCGACGAACAGATTGGATAAGGTCGGTTTGCCGAAGCTGCGCCCCGGTGTATATGGTGCTGACCCGACATTGACCACAGCCGGAATGGTATTTCACGCATATTGCCAACAAGTCCCATGAGCACCGGCCGTTCATGGAATCCATCATACAAGCCCTCCTTTCCACCACGGAATATCGTACAATCAATGCCTGGGTATGACTTGCCCTCGTTCATCAGTCTCAAATCTCATACTGATCCCCCCCCTGTATAGAGAGAGTTTACGCTACAGCTGTTGCCGGTTCTCGAGAGCAAACTGCACCGTACGATACCCGCGCTCCTGGCCCATCCACCCATCCTCGCCCACACAATATATCAAGCGCTTGCGTTCGATACCGCGCTTCGGGACGAGGGCTTCGACCTGCCCGGTACGACCGCAGCTCCCGTTTCGTCTCTCACAGCAGACGGGGAGAAGAGAGACGAGTGGGCGGGGATTAGCGAAACTATACTCGGCAAGAAGGAGTGGTTCGAGGCATGGGTTGAGGGCGAACGCAAGTGTAAGTGTGTGATATACACCCTTCGGACGCGACTGACCGGTTTCGTGTGCAGTCGCTATGGACCAGTATTTCGAGATTATCAGTGCCCCAGACGCGTGGCTCGTCGCGGATGATGACGAGGAGGACGAGGGCGAGTCGCGTGCCATCGATCGAGAGCTCCGTCCGACCAACTCTGCTCGACGAGTCAAAGCATTAGTCGAACAAGTCACTGGTAAGGCACACCTAGGGCCTGCAGCGTATGGCGTGGTGTTGACTGGGATGTGCAGATCGTTATTCCCCACTGCCTCAATTCTCACACAGAACACGCTTCCTCATCGTCGTGCAGCTACCGCTGCTCGAGTCTTATCATTCCCGCATATCCTCGTCACTGGACGCCTTCGAGACGTTGTCGTCCACGCTTCTGCGCGCAGTTCCTGGTGCGCTTGGTTCTGGGAATGGTGGTGGGGACGGGCGGAAGTTGACTGCTGGCGTGGAGGGCGTCCAACGTCTGTGCAAGGCGCTGGTAAGTGCGAAGTACCTTGCTGGCGCGATGGAGGTATGGGGCGAGGATTTGGTGAGCGGAACCTCTGGCGATTCATATAGGTGACGGCTGACGTTTCAACGAGTGCAGTTCTTCTTGGAGCTTTGGGCAGAAATCAACCACAGGGCTAGTCTGCGCACAAGGGCAGAGTCCGTCCCTCTGCTGCCCAACCCCAATTCAGCAGAAGACGAAGCGCCAGAGGGGACAATCTTCGAAGAGCTAGTCCGCCACTATCATGACCTCTCAGAGCGTGCCGAAGAACTGATCGTTTCCACTGTAACTGGAGAAGTCGAGAGCGGACTGAAGTCCCACCTACAGAGTGGTTCTACGTATGTGACGCTCGCATGTCGCGATTTACGCTGGTCTAACTCCGCGGCTGTAGACACGCCACCCCCGCCACTGGTTCGGACACACCCGACGATATAGCCTTGGCTCAGAGTCTGCTCGGACCCCTCGCTCTGCTATCCTCTCACCTGACTTTCCTCCGCGGCACGCTCCCTCGCGCGACCGTCACGTCCCTTTACAGGAGGACCGCCTCGCGCGTCGGCTCGCATCTCATGCAAAGGCAGATCCTATATCGCGGACGCTCACTCACTACGCTGCCGGAGGCGAAGACAGTCCTGGCGGAGGCCGAACTCTGGGTTGAGACGTGCCGCGTTGTACTGAAAGAGGAGCGCGGGAGGGTCGAGGCGCCGTGGCGGCCGTTCCTGCAAGCCGCGAGGCTGCTTGCGGCTGAAGGCGATGCGTGGCGGAGGATCGTCGACTCTACGTTTGGCTTCTCCGACGACGGCCAGTGGGAGGAGGTTTTGCTGGATATTGTAGGGCTATGTGAGCTCCCGCGGGAGGAGGTGCAGGGCATCTTAAGACGAAGGGAGGACTGTGACCGTTGAGTTCGTACTAGGACTAGATATCAGCGTGCATAGTGCCCTGTCTGTTGTTCTTCGTGTCTACCATTTGGGTGGCGTCCAATCCTCTTTACACCCTGCGTGGATCCCTGTATGCGAGAACGATCCGTTGCGTCGTGGTCGTGCAAGTACAAACACGTGTCAACAGCCCGCTCGCCGACGGCCATCGTGCCGCGCGCAGACGCACTTGCCTCCGCCGCCTGGCATGTCGCGACATTCTGCACATCTCTGAGCTAGCAACACACAATCTGTGAAAAGGCTAGGTGATTGAGTTGAAGGATGGCTGGCCCTGCTCCGGCTTCTCTCCGTGATTTGTACGCAACCCCATCCACTGCCTGGTCTTTCGTGCCACCCTCGCTCTCTCAGGACTCTGCTCCTGGCAACAACTCTCATCCTCCTATCGCCGGACCGTCGTCATCGGGACAATGGGCCACACGTACAGCACCCAACCCACTATTCGACCTTTCGTCGTCGCTGTCTGGCGATGATTCCGGCTTAGATATTACATCATTGGCGCAAGAACTCCTGGTTGCCGCATTCTATCAATACGCGACGACCGCTATTGCTCAGCCATGGGAGGTCGGAAAGACATTGCTTCAAGTTCAGTGGGTGCCGCGGGATCCACGAGACATCTCGCCAGACCCGGCAGCGGAGGTCGACGACGAGGGCGAGGTGCGCACGCGCAGCCACTGATTGACACTATTGTGGTCGAGCTGACCGGGGGACTGTGTTCTATGCAACGCAGTTGAGCGATTCATCTTCAATCGAAAATGACTCCTACTTTGCGGACCCTACTGCCGAGAAGCCTCCGAGGCCTCCACGTCCAGCAGACGAGGGTGGCTACATCATCCGACAATCCTTATTGGAAGAAGGCACTCAGCCTGAATATGTGATCCCCGTCGGGAGCGCGGATGGTACATGGGCAATGATGAAGCGTGTTGGTCGTTTCAGAGCGGAGGGGTGGCTTGCGTTATGGAAAGGTATGTTCAAGACGTCTGTACGGCATCGCAACGAGGAACGTGAATTGTTGGTCTTGCAGGTCTTTTGACTTCGGCAGTGACCTCTGGTCTCTCTGCGGTTCTACAGCCGGCTATCTACTCCCTCCTCCAGTCCACGTTCTCTCCATTCTCTCCATACTCATATCCAGGCGGCACGCCCTCCGTACTCCTACCTGTGGCTTCTCAGGTGCTCGCGGGCTTCATTCTCTCCCCTTTGGAGCTTGTCCGTACCCGACTGATCGTACAGTCGTCCGTCCCGAGGCACCGCACTTACAGCGGACCGATAGATGCCCTCCGCCAAATACTCGCTCACGAAGGCGGTCTCCGCGGTGTATATCTCCACCCTCACCTACTTATCCCCACTCTTTTCGACTGCACACTCCGTGCGCTTATCCCTCTCACGCTTCCCGGGCTCGTCGCGTCTTACGTAGGACTTGGCTCGAACATTTCCCCGGAAACGACACCTATGCAATGGCAAATAGCCCAGCTGCTTGGCACTGCCGTGGGGTGTTTCATCATTCTCCCATTCGAGACCGTCCGCCGTCGGTTACAGGTTCAAGTGCGCGGGACTGCGCGACCGCTCAAGGCCTGCGTTGAGCTGCGTCCAGCTCCGTACAACGGCATGGTCGATGCGTTTTGGCACATCTTGACAGAAGAGCGCTCGGACCTGCCCCTCAAGCCTGTCAGCCCTAAGCGGAAACGGAGACGCAGCTCGGTGAAGGGCAAAGAGACCGCGAGGGAGGTCGAGGCGGAATATGTCGAGGAGGAACACGAGAGCTGGTTGAAGCACAGCGGGATTGGTCAGCTCTTCCGTGGATTGAACATGCGTTTGGGCGCGGGTGCGCTTGTCTTCGTCCTGGCGCTCATGAGTGGATCGGATGAGGCGGATGCAGGGTGGGCAGAGCTTTGAGGACGAGTTGAGTACGTAGGATCCAGGATTCTCATGTCTTACCGTAAGGTGCATGCGGTCCTTTGGACGTCTGACATTCACCAGTGTACTCCCTGCTAATGACCCCCAACTCTATCTGTAATCGGGCTCATATTGGAGCATCCCCTCATGCAGATATCACCACCGTTTGATGTAGACCCACGTTTAACGGACATCAGGGTCAGCGCGGCCAGCGAACGTGCTCATGTGCGAGCCTGACACTGTGCTGCCGTGTATGTGCACTGGCGAGCCGCCGCTTTCTTCTCGGGCGAGCTCATCGCTACTTATATGCAACATCTCATCAGGAGTCTGACGAAAATGCGACTCTGAGTGGAAAAACCAAATCAACACAACGTCATCTTCCGCCCACTCCCGCACAGTCATCGACGCCGTAGCGACTCGTGAATTCAGCACTGCTACAGCGCTGGTCAGTTAATGAACGACCATGTTGACCACGAATAGCTGTCACTTTGTCTAACCCCGCGAACACTCCTTCTCCGCTACCATACGGGCGAGCGTCGGTGGAACGACTTCGAGCTGGAGGGGTAGCGCGTCCACATGGCCCTGAACATGAGAAACACATTGTCCCGTCAGAACACTGAAACACCGGGCGCGCGCAGCAAAGTGGGAAATCCACAAGTGATACTAGGCACGGGAGATGAACGCACATGGCTGAGGTGATAACGCAGTCCGCTGAGTTGTTTGTACTGCTTGCTACATCCAGGGTGAGGGCACGGATGGAGCTTACGCTTCGGCTTCTGCGATGTGAAGGCGGACGAAGACCCTGTCTTCTCTGGAGACTCCATGAGCGCTGTAGGCGTTTGGGAGATAACCGGGGCTTTCGTGGCGGTCTGGGGAAGCGTCCGGGAACGTTCATCTGCATCAGACATCGAAATATCTCCTTGTCGCGCATGTTGTCCGTTTGTGGGCGTGTCGGGCGCAACAACAGTGGAACCTTCTTGAAAGGTAGTGTCGGCACGCGTTGCAAGGGCCTGTTGGAAGTGATATTTCGATCTGCACCGCCAATTGCGGTAATTTACCGGTGAGTGAGAATAACACAAAACTACGCGTGAGCTAATGTCGGCTGACGCCGCGGCGCAGGTATCGCCGGGAAATCGACGCACATTTGTAGGTGGTATTGCAGGCCGTTGATACTCTAGAATATCGAAAACCTCCGTCAGGGACACACAAAAAAGATGAGTGCCTTGCACCTTGGACCTGGCAACGCCCTACGTACCTTCCAGCTCTTCTCACAGCCCGTCAAGCCACACCTGAAAGGTTTGCTTCCCCCGAGATCGCCACAGTGATCAACCTTGCTATGATCGGAAAGCTCCTTGGATGTTGCATAAGAGTTCCTGCTGCTCGTCATGTCTTCTGGCCAACAATCGTGGTGACCACATGCATATGCCAGAACACTGGGACTGCGCAGTGGGTCCGACAGGCGCAATGATGAATGTCCGTTGAGAACACTACGACAGAATATCCACTCACTCTGCTGTCGCCGGCAGTAAAGAAGAAAGTCGAACAGGGGCGACGGCATCCCTTGTCTTCCGTGTGGGCGGTGTCCTTGGTGCCTTCTCGGCGTCCGTGCGGTAATACGACCTTGGGACAACTGAATTATCGGAGGGCCCAGGTGGGCTGGAATAGTTGACTTGCTCGTTGCCGGAAATGGATCTGGGAGACCCAGGCGGAGATGGTGAGCTAGCCTGGGAGGGCGAAGCGGGCGAATCCGATATAATGACGTTTTGAGGTCCGACAACGGGGCCCGCTGAGGATGCGCTCCCGGTGAACTCATCGACCGAAGCAGCTCCGGTCGTCGTATGACAGCGTCCGGAATGGTATGTTTGTGTAGTGACGTTGTCCTGATGGTCTATGTATGCGTAGTCGTGGGATCCGTGTGTGCCGGCCCTGTTGTCGGACGATGGCACCCTGACTGCTGATGGTTCAGAAGCACTAGGTCGAGGCGAATATGCCTCCGAATGGTAATAAGCATGAGGATTGGGCGACGGTGCAACAGAGCTGGGATGTGATAAGGCGGCTGTGAGAGACGAAGAAGTGTACTGGAATGACGCCGGATCCCGCGCGTCGGACGGCGATCCGCCAAGATGAGCCCCTGATAAAATCTGTTCGGGAGAATACGACGCAACATGCGACTCTTGAACATGAGCGGGTGAACCTTGATGGAGCGCAGAAGGGGCGACGTATTGTGGACTCCGACCATCCCAGAAGGACGGTTCATGGACATGCGCAGGAGTCCATTCGGTCGGGGCGGGGGAGGATCTAGCCGTGGTAGACAAGGCTTCGCCTCGAGCAGCAGTGTCTCGAGATTGTGCAGCTCTTCTGCGCTCTAGCATTCTCCACCTGCGAAGCACTTCAGTGATCGTATCTGACAGATAGACATCTGCACCGTCAGTACCTGTTCCTGCAGCCCAGTCCACTGCGGCTAAGTTCCTGACCGATGAGGCCCCATTTACCTCCAAGCCTGGTGTAGGCATCCGAAAGTTTCGCGTCCTCATCCGCTGTCCAGTCATCGCGTTTCAGAGAAGGATCCAGAGCCTCTCTGTAACGTTTCGAGCATGCATCATCCGTCCTCCCGGGAATATTGCGAGCGATGACAGACCACTTGGTCCCATGTGTCGCGTATAGGGAAAGGAGGAGCTGGTCCTCTTCTGGCGTCCAGGCCGTCTTCTTCACGTTAGGCGACAGGGAATGCAGCCAACGCTACGCGAGTGCATCGTGAGTACCTCACTGAGATGCGGAACGTCCATACAAACCTTTCTACAGGCTTTGTTGGTCCGACCCGGTACCAAAGACGCTACTGCCTTCCAATTGTCGTTCTCGCCATGGATAGCTACTGCCTGAATGAGGAGGTTATCTTCGTAAGTCGTCCATGGATTCCCTACGCCTCTTTCGCCCATGAACCCCTTGGCGAGGACGCCGTTAAGCCAATAGAGTCGTCACCAGGACTGTAATGTGGTTTAGAGTAAAGATCAGTCAAGAAAGCGTCTGGTACAAGACGAAGCGCCCCTGCAGCTCATCCTCGCGAGGGTCTTCGATTACGTAACACGTCTTGCTCTTGTTGCTGCAGTCATGTCTCTCGTCCTAGGCTACTCTTCCGACGAGGACGACGGTCCTCAGATCTCTTCCAACGATGTTTTCGGTCTCTCTTCTCTACCTTTGGCTAAAAAGCCACGAGTCGATGAGTTGTCGACATCGACATCACTCGTGCCGACCTCCGCGCCAGATGTACTCGCGGAGGTGAGTTTGCCTTTCAGTGGTTCATTATGACATTAGCTCAACCATCGCGTGCTCAGGACCCATTGCACCAGACAACGTTGGTCACTCGGCCTACAGATACACAAATGAATGTCAACATCTCCTACCAGGACATGATGTTGCCCATACAGGGACCGGAGAATCCGTTTAGTGACCGCAACCGGTTCATCAACCAGAACGCGCTCGCGGGACATGTCGAAGAGCAAGCTATGACTGAGCACGCGTTTCGACAGCAACACCTCACCCACGCTATTCTGGGCTACTCTGCCAACCCTTCCGTAGACCCGAGCGCACCGGCTATTGTCGGCTCGGTGGAGAAGGCGCAGGAGCATGGTTTCGCCACTATCGCCGCGGTCAAAGCCCCGAAGTCGAAGAAGAATGAGCTCAAGCGGAAACGAAAGCCGGCGGGGGATCTAGAGATCGTGGATGGAGAGGGTGCGTATGAGGGTCCGTGGGCGACATGGCAGGGGGACCAGCCGGATACGAGCATGCCGGAGGGTGCGGATGAGGTAGAGGAAGAGGAGGAGGAGCCGGAGGAGGAGATACAGGTGAAGAAGGCAAAACCAAAGCGCGGCGCACCGGGGTTGGAGTCATCCGTGTTCCATGGCAAGTCGATGTACGACTACCAAGGGAGGACGTACATGCACCCACCGTTATCGGAAGCTCCTCAACTTCAGCACGATCCCGGCTCGCAGGAATGCTTCATCCCCAAAGTCTGTATACACACATGGACAGGCCACACACAGGGTGTCTCCGTTCTCCGGCTATTCCCCAATACTGGTCATCTCCTTTTGAGTGGCTCGATGGACACAAAAATCAAGGTGTGTTGGGCGTTAGTGATAATTTGACGGCCGCTCTGACGCTCCCCAGCTGTGGGATATCTACACACATGGCAACTGTCTTCGTACCTTCCACGGCCACATGAAGGCGGTGAAAGATGTTACGTTCTCCAATGACGGCCGGCGATTCTTGTCTTGCGGTTATGACCGTCAGATGAAGTTGTGGGATACAGAAACTGGCCAGTGCATCAAGCGCTTCAGCAACGGCAAGATCCCGTACGTCGTCCGCTTCCATCCGGATGAGGACAAGCAGCATATATTCCTCGCAGGGATGTCCGACAAGAAGATCATCCAGGTGTGTAGCTTGACCTAATATCGCTGCGTGCCCCGCCTTCTTGACGCAAGTTGACTAATGAACTTGACAGTACGACATGAACTCGGGAGAGATTACCCAGGAATACGATCAGCATCTTGGGCCGGTGAACACCATTACCTTCGTTGACGAGAACAGGCGGTTCGTGACGACTTCCGATGACAAAACCATCCGCGCTTGGGACTTCGACATCCCTGTCGTCATCAAGTACATCGCAGAGCCACACATGCATTCAATGCCGGCTGTCACGCTGCATCCCAGCAGTACGTGCTTTGTGCAGCTCTATCTTGGTCGATCTGGTACTGATCACCTCACCGTATGGCTATCCAGAGAAGTACTTCGCCGCCCAAAGTTTGGACAATCAAATCCTGGTTTACAGCACCGATAACTTCCGCCAAGCTCGGAACAAGCGGTTCGCTGGCCACTCTGTTGCGGGCTATGCTTGCCAGGTCGGCTTCTCTCCCGATGGCAAGTGGATCAGTAGTGGGGATGGCGAGGGCAACGTGGTGTTCTGGGAGTGGAAGACGGGCCGCATCAAGTCGCGTCTGCGCGCGCATTCGAAGGTTGTTATCGCCCACGAATGGCTTCCGCACGAATCTGTGAGTGCCGTAATGATGACGCTGAACCGGGAGAGTCGGCTGACTATATCGGAAAATACAGTCGAAGGTCGTGACCGGGTCGTGGGACGGCTTGATCAAGCTTTGGGTACGTCATCGGTGATTTTGCCACATATTGCCAATCGGAAGCTGACCTTGTGCAATGACATCTCTAGGACTGATGGATCGTGTCGTGTATACCAGTAATGTGATCACACACCTATGCAGAAGACACGCCTTGCGTGCTGATTCTTGAGGGCCGAGGCTCATACCGGTCCTGTGACCCCTGTTCAGTACGTGCTTACACGCCTTGCAAAAACATCAAATTCAATGTGAAGAGTGCCCTCGAGTACCTCGCAATTGAGGGCGCCAGCATATGGGCGCTGTATCCCCTGTGCTCCCGGTTTCGGATACCTTCTTACAGCGACGTGTTTCGGCGCGTACCTGTCATATTAATTACCCTTATCTCGCCTTGGCCTTCTTGCCCAAGCGATCGCCCTTCCTTTGGGAAGCCGAGGACATGAATGCCACGAAGGCAGGCGAGCGTTGTCCACGCGCTCTCGAAGCGCGGGGTATGCACGGATCGAAGCTGTTCCTGATCCACTCGTCATACGCAGAAGAGCAAAATTTCTCTCAGCAGTGCAGTTCGCGGCCCTGCGCCGCCCCGCTCCCCGAAGATCTCGTCGAGTGATCGGCGCATCCGATAAGTAGCAGCCATTTCTCGGGCTCCCAACTGACTATCGTCCTGCATCGATATCAATGTTGCTCGAGCGACCCGGGAGTGCGAGTTCCGACTTGTTCAATGGCAGGTACTTATCCATAGAATTCTGGGCTTCAAGCTTTAGAACAGGTGCTGCTCGATGTGACGCAAGCGCCTGCCCGAGGGCGAACAATTGACGCGGGCGAAGCATGGTGTCCAGGTACAGACGACGTCGAACGTGCGGCTGGAACCGCTGCCGTCGCGGTGGAGGCTTACCTGCGCGACGGTGGCGCTCCTCGCATCGTGACCTGAGCGGGGCGCGTTACCGTACAAAGTACTTACTTATTCATCGCTATTTATCATCGGAAGATTGGAGGCGCATCAGAACATATGATATGTCGTGGATTGGCAGATGAGCGGCGACCGTCCGCTGTGTGCGCTCCACTCCACTCAGGTCCGCCACCTTGAGGGTAACGGGACGACAGGACGAGATGAGCAGCAGTTTGCTGTGGCGTGCGCAGCCTTGCCAGTTTCGGGCCGACGGTCTGTCACTGTGTATACAGCAAATCCCTTCCACCTCTGTGGCTGAGGTGACAACGTTCGAAGCTGCCGGATCGTTGTCGGCGATGTCAATCACTGGACGGAAAATCCGGTCGCAGACGTCGCGCACGGTGGATGTGAGTGTACGCAGTATGATTGTGGCCAATCATAGCGCTCCGTCTCTCTTGACGCCGCAATGTACTTGCTCGCACTGATACCACTGAGACGAGCCCCCGCTACAGAGCGGAAGCTATCGTTATAGGGCGTGAACCGCGGTCGATTGCTGACCTCCGGATGGTCGGACGGCCTGCTGCTCACCCGGATATGTTCCCAGTGACCGGCATTCCTGACGTCCCGGCGAATCGCCGTATTTTGGTGCCCAATCCCAATCCGAAGATAGTGAGGGAAGGTGGACCGTGGAGACGCGGAACGGGATGGCATGTATGGGGCTTCCTTGAGCGCATGTGTTCGGAGTAGGCGAGCGAGTTGCGGGTGGAATGCAGGTCGCCGGTGCACGAGCGTCATACGCTTCGATGCATGTGCGCCTCTCTCGGAGTCGGGGACCCTGCTGCTGGGATGCCGCTCGTCAAATTTCAAACGTGAGCCTGGAGTATTTCTGGACTGAGTGCCGCCGGCACGGCAGGCGTTACGTTTGGAGGCGAAATCTTACAACACAGACTCAGCATCACTGCGCATCTTCAAGAATGGGCGGTAGGATGCTGGCACAACAACTTCGGGCGATCGTGTTTCCGACGGCGTGGTTCTTTTCAACCTTGTGAGACAAACGGGAGCTAAGAAGCAACGCAGGAACCGAAGCCGGGCTCTTGAGCGGAGCCGTGTCAAGCAAGCAACTGTAGGAGATGTGCCGCAAGCTGCACGCGGCGTACCGTCATGTCATCCGGACCAGTGAGGTTAAAGAAACGCAGTCGTGAGTTCCCATCGGACTCGTCGACCACGTTCGTCTCAACGTTCCGAATTTGATTTGAATGGAATTGTGGTTGCTATTACTTAGAGCCCAGAACGACCACCACGGGTGTATGTTGAGCGACTCAAAGGGAAGACAGCAACTTGTGCCTTGAAACGAGGGTGGTCTGCAACTGCACCTGGCCACGCGCAGCCTCGCCGATATGGCCCTTGGCCATCGGGGTCGTCAACGTGCAGTGGCCATCGGAGTCGTCAATGTCTGCGTTGGGTTTCGGATGGACGCCCGCAGCCAGCGAAGATTGGGCCGGCGTCTCCGGAGCAAGACCATGCGCGGAAATGGGTGGCAGCGATGACGCACGAAGAAGTGCTTCGGACGTTGGAGAGACGCTCGCCGTCGCCGGTCGGGGTCACTGGGCAAATGGCGATATGATAGCACTAAGGATAGGACGTGCCATCAGAGTGTCGGGTTGGACCCCCTGGTGCTTGTGGCTGAGCTAGGCGCTGCTGATTCGCCTCAAAGTGCTCTTACGACGCCGTCATGACGGCGATATGGCGCACCGAGACCGTCGCCGGGTGGCGGTAGGGCGAGCAGAGGACGGACATTGACGAAGACGAACGACACCGCCGGGTGCGGGAGCCGTGGTGTGGAACAGCAGGCATGAACGGGGAGCGGCCACGCCATATTGGCAAATCTCGTCAGACGCCGCTCGGGCGGCGTCTGTCCCGCGGAACAGGGACAGATCATTGGACGAACGTACTAGCGCAATTGGGGGGGGAGATAAGGTTCTATAGCCCTCATCTCGGGCTCGACGCTGTTCAACAACGCTCAGTGGCGTGAACCGCTGCATACGTATGCGTTCGCGTGAATGGCAGTTCGACTTCCGTAAGGGCGCTGGTCCTGCGGACGAGGAGAAGACTGGCACGGTTATCAGAAAGGAACGAGCACGGCGAATTTCGGGCCTAAGTACATATGTAAGTAGGGGACCCAAGGGAGTGGAACAGTTGCTCGCAGGGTCAGGCCGTCTTGAGAAGGGAGGAGGAGGTCTGGGCGGGCAGGAGATATGTGCCTGGCATGCGGTTGCAATCTTGATGAGGTGACAATCCACTGATCGCATTGACCCTCAGCCCACGTGCTCTCTGTCCCTGTCGTCGCCCTTGTCATAAATGTTGCCGCTTCGCTCCACTAATCTGCACGTCCCCCCGACCCCGTCTCTACGATAACATCCGCCCGACATAACACCATGCGTCTCTCCTGGTCGCTCTTCTCCGTCGCCGTCCTCGCGACTCTCGTCTCCGCGGCACCAGTGAGTGTCCTCCGTCTCTCCCGTCCGTCGCAGCACTGACCTCCTGAGCGCCAGGTTGACTCCGTAGCCATCGTATGTCCTCCGTTGCAGCCATGAAAGTATTTCTTTCCTCACGCCTTTTTGTGCCTTTCAGGCTCGTCGTGGTGCACCCGGTGGTGGCAACAGCCCTGATTGGAAACGGACCTGTCCCAATGGGGCACCTGGATGCGGTGAGGGCCCCCGCGTAGCACCTGTAGCAGTGAGTAGTCGTCCCACGAGCTTCTCCGGGCTTCCTTCTGAATTGCGTGTGCACCCTGCAGTAACGACTGCCAGGACCGTTCTGCCTCTTAGGCAATGGTCTCTTCCTGCACATAGTCTACCCTACTGTGCGTGCCATTCGGTGAGTCGAGCCCGCTCCCTTCGATCCTGCTTACCCATCCTGAGTATGTTTGTGCAGATGCCCGCATCACTCGTTTCCCTCTGGTCGGTCCTGTAGTCTGGGCTATGCGCGCGGTTCCTACCACCTTGGTGCTCCTCCTGTTTGCAACGCCGTGTCGCGTCCGTTCGTTTATTGCTTGATTTATTCCGGTCGATTAATCCGCGTCTTGTACTATATTGTACACCATGAGTCTGCAGTCAAAATGCTCCAATTCGGAAACTCTCTATCCCGAGTTCGAGCCCCAGTGTCGAATGGCGCGTCCGATGGTCGGAGGGCATGGGACCTGAAGCAAGTGGTGTCTGCCGCGGTGACAGCGGAGGTACTAGCATGACCCCAGAAGCTACGACCCATAACGTATTTCATGGATATCTCCCTCCCTTCCTCTCCAATACATTTCAGACTTCGCACACTTCACTTGCATCCTGGACAGTACATATGGGTGAAATATGAAGAAAATCGGTGGAGGTTTGCATTGAGCATCGCGGAATTACACGTCTGACCCCAGAAGCTACGGAAAAGCGCCCATAGATTGTCATGGATGGTCACAATGCCGAAGACTGCCGATTCAAACACCGCTGTTATCAGTCGTTTGATAGCGAAGTTGGCCGGGGCAACATTGTCGAAGCGCTCAGATTGAAAGTCAGCTTTATCTCGGTCAGTGGCTGAATGTCACGCTCGAGAGACCTCTTCCTATCTTTCGAATACTGCAACCCGGAACCCTTCGGAGACTGAACAAGAAAGTTTATTGAGAATGTTCAGAACACTTTGCGAAGTTACAGAAAGATCGGCGCTGCAGATT